CAACCCAAAAAAAAGAGTACCCTAAAAAGAGACACACCCACCACAACAGCTGGTTTTTGTCATGTCCAGCACCCAAGTACCGTCCAAAAAACAGTCGTGGGGGGGGGATCTGTTGCCCCGTGCCGAAACCCGTCGACGAGGTCACGGATGGCTTCCCCGGAGCCGCGCCATCTCCGCCCACGTGTCCTGGCAAGGCCCGTAGGGTTTGTCTTATGAGCAATCCCCGGAACGCGGTGTGTCTTATGACCCAAGAGGGTTCCCTCAAAGAAACAGAGGCTTCGGTTTCAGTTGGCCTCCCTTTCAAACAACCCCAAACATGGAATCAACTCCAAAAAGACACAGACAGACACACCCACACACACACACATGCGGTACTGCATTTCCTTGAGGTGTCCCTTAAACAAGATAGGGCTGTTCTGAGCCAAGACGCAGGAGATGGCCCCACGCGCTCTGGCCGCGTGGGCAAGCCCTCCAGGACCCACTTCAAGGCTGGGGAAATGAGTCGGATTCGATTCTGCCTATCCCCACCCAGATGTTTTTTTAGGGGATGCAGGTAACCGGCGTAGGGACGGATCGCCCTAGTGAGCAGCTGGCCGGTGACCAATCAGCGAACCAGCTAAATGGAGGTACTGTGGATGGACGAAATCCGCTCGCACCACTTTAAAACCATGGTTGAAACCACGGTTTGTTGGTATTTACGTTGGGGAATCGAATCATTCTATGGTTTCTCAGGTGATGCAAAATGGATTTCGTAATCATCCACAGTATCCCCGGCCTGGAGCTCCTCCCAATTTTCCCGTCCAAGCGCGGAACTCGGCTCCAGCTGCACGGGGGATGCGGCATGCGCGGGGCGTTCAGCTTTTTGGTCCAATGGTACACACCACTGACACCAACTGAAGCGTTTGCTAGTATCTTCCATTTGCCCCGCGGACACGTGTCTTTGGTTGGGGTTTAAGAAGTCGTGTAGTTACTGGGGAAACGAACGGAAGTGAATTTATAGAAGGGTTAGAGGCAAATCCAGGAAGTCTCTGCCCAGTGAACCGCCAATGTGTCTTTGGTTGAGAAAAAATGGTTTTAGGGCCATTTTCTGTGATGCAGGTTCCCATGGGTGGTTTGGATTTGTGGTTTGGGTTTGGATTTGAACCTCAGGTTCTTGTTGAGGGTCCAACCCCTAAGATCCCCTAAGCACCAATCTAAACCACCAACCAAAGGAAGCTGATAAAGATTGTCCAGTTTGTTTCGTGAACTAAACAAGGGGCCCATTGCCCAAAGTCAAGAATCCATGGAGCATGATATCAGAAGAGGTCAATATTTATTGGAGGCAAAGGCGGCAGCAGAAGGCATGTCGCCAAAGTACCATTGGGATCACCAAATTCCCTGCGTTGAATGAATATTAACCGCGGCTCTAATTTTGTTTGTCCCTGGGTGAGGTTGGGGGTAGTGTCGACCTTCACCAAGCTGTCCAACTTTGGTCCAACTCGGTGTGTTTTGTCCCTGTGGTTTCGAAGAAAACAGACACATTTTTGGGGTCCCAATGAGACAAACATCTTGGAGTCGACCTTGGCAAGGGTAAACCGTCAACTTCCAGTTGGCATTTGGGCAGGAGGGGTTGGCGCCTATGGAAAGCCCCCCAACGACTTTGCGTTTTGCAGATAGGGCTATATAAATGAAGGACACACCAATTGCTAACATGCTGCTCCTATGATTGTGGCTGGATGCGGTCTTGGACTCTTGAAGTATTTTATCCTACAACCTCTTGTAGGCTATCATTACTACGACCCTTCCAACCCTTTGATTTGCTTACAACCCCTTTTTCAAGGATTTGGTTTTTAGGAAACCAAGCCTTTCGGAACCTTTTGCAGGTGGCCGCACACCTCCATTGGCTCTTCGTGGCAACCCTGGTGGCGGTGGCCTGGCTGAACGACGGAAGGAACCTTTCATTCGCTTGAGGTTCAGTATTTGCCATGCCCAAAGGCTCCTGAGCTTTCAATGGAAGACCTGACCCCTCCACTAGACACCCCGCTTCGGTGTTTGGGGGTCTCAAACCCTGGCTGTTTGAATCGGGAGCGTTTGGGTGGCCAAAACACCCTGCCTGGGGTTGGTAGGGATGGTCGTTAACCGCCCTTAAAATGGGTTTTATATCAGGGTTTCCTCCAACCCCAAAAGTGGGAGCCTTTTTTTGACCCTGCTCCTGTAGGCCAATCCCTCTCAACTGGTTTCAAATCCCGTTTTTTTTATTTTATTTTAAGTGTCCACCATTTCCAACCCAAACCTCCAAAATACCAACCTGTTGCTCAGCTCAACCCAGTTTGGTTGAAGCCTGATGGCACTGATTTTTATCATTAGCCGGTGCCATCTATGCTGGGTGGTAAAATAGCCCGTGTTATTTTTATAGCTCTCCCCAAGGGAAATCCGAACAGCTTTTTGGTGTGACCAAATCGCACATTAGACGACCTTTTGCTTCGGGGAAACAACACAAAACGCAACGACGTAGCCCATGAAAAGGGGACGGGCATTTTGTTCCCGGACCTTTTTTCTTCTTGCTGGTTCTCAGCAGGGAATGAGGGAACGACCCTTATAAACCATCAAGTCTTGCACCCCATAAAAGATTATCCAAACGCCACAGACGAAAGGTGAGGGGCATGTTTTTCCCCGGACCTTTTTGCTTGCACCCAACAAAAAGCACCCCCAAAAGAAACCGCCTGGATCGCCAGTTTTTTTCTTGTGTGTGTGTGTTTTTTTTGCACGCATGCACTTTACCATCAAACCAGCACCCGTGACTGAAAAAAGGGATCGCAACTTGGCTATCTAGGAAGCAAACAAAGAGAAACACGATGAAACTGCTTTTCGACATATCCCAGCTCCCCCCCCCTCCCCGCCGCTCGTTTTGAGACAGACCAAATAGGAACGCCTTCCCCCTCTTGCTCGGCCGGCTTTTTTGTTTCTTCCCAAAAAATCCCCACAACCCCCCCAAACAAAAAAACCAGGCGCCGGTTCTTTTTTTCTTCCGGGTCGCCACGAACGAAAAAAGCCGCGAAGCCGCGAATCCGCGTCCGCACAAAAGCGAATCCGCGTCCGCGAGCGAAAACGCGAGGCCCGGATCGCCACGGGGAGGCGGCACCAGATCCGCAGCCACGGAGCGTTTTTGGGGCACCCCGTGGTGCGGGACGAGAAGTCCACCGCGTCTCGGTCGGCGGCAGGGCGTCGACGTGGGGCGCTTGTTGGGGTGGGAAAAAAGCGCTTGGGGCGGCGCCAAGGCCGTGCGGTTTTTCTTAGTTGTTCGGATCTTTTGAGATCTTTTTAGTTTTTTTTAGTTCGGTTTAGCTGTTTAGATCTTTTTGGATATTTTAGCGTTTTTGATCTTTTTAGCTTTTTAGCTGTTTAGATCTGTTTGGTGTGTAGTGGAGATTCCATTTGACTCAACAAAAGTTGAACTGAGCGGGGCATCTGAGGATAGCCCCAGAAAAGGGCGTGTCTTAAAATAGGGTCCCCCCAAACAACAGAACAACAGGAAGGGTTTTCCTTTTGGATTCCCATTGTATTAGCACCCAAACGAAAAGAACAAGCGCTGGTTTTGTTCCTGTTCTTTTGCTTGAATGCACCCAGGAAAGGATCCAGCATGAACAAAAATGCTGAAAGCTCCCCCCCACCCAATTCCCATCGCATACCCCTCCAAACCAAAAGAACAAGTGCTGGTTGCTTCCTGTTGTTTTTCATTGAATCCACCCAAGAAACGATAAACAATGAACAAATTGCTTGGGATTTCCTTTTGGGTTCCCTGTTTATAGTCCACCCAAAAAGGGATCCCTCGAATAAAGAGCCAAAGCCGGTGCTTCCGATTGCCAAAATAGTGTGGAATCAGGTTATGTTTTACGATTTGTTTGCCTGGCTTGGCTAGTTGGCTAGTTACGGAAGCACAGGGAAAAGTACGACCAGAAACTAACAAACGTTGGGTTTCCTTCAGATTTCCTTGCAGCCAGTAACAACCAAACAACTTGTTGCAGGCCTAAGTTTGTTTTGGACACCGCCGTCCAAGGTGCAAAAGGGCCTCTAATTCTGACAATCCATTCGAAGGGACCCCAACACGAGAAATATGGGGGGACTCACTAGATTTCCCACGAAGACCATGTCCTCTTTTGGTGAAACACACTTGCTAGATCATGGCTCATACGCAGGTGTGTGTTTTTGCGGGATCCCTTGCCAGCATGTCTCAAAGGCAAACTGAAAAAACAGTTTGAGTGTTCATTTAAACAAATCAATTTGCATCATGTGTTTATGTAAACTCCCATCCCAATGTACTTGATATACTTATGTTATGTATATATATATACATATATGTATTTGTATGGGGTTTCCCAAAATGGTGGACCCCCTTTTGGGCGGTTTTGTAAGGGAAAGCAAAACAAGCCACTTAGTGTTCCCGTATTTTGAGAAACACCCATACATGTTGTTCTTTCTGTGTATATATATATATATACATAATATATGTATATACAGGATATATACATATATATATATAACACTAAAGATAAACCCACTACAAATAACTAAGGGGAATTTGGAGCCAAGCATCCCGTCCATTTCGAGGCCTTGGGTACTCAGCTGCTGGACTTCCGCTTGTGCGACCGCATCTTCCTTCACCGCTACCGCCTGGCCTTCAAAAGCCTGCAGCGCCAAAACGTCCAGGCGAGGTGTGCCGAGTCTTTTGTTTGAGTGTTTTGGTTGGGGGGGACTGCGGCGGATGGCCGAGGCCGTTTTTTTTTGTTTTTTTTCTCCTCCTTTGCGAGATGACCGGGAAGGAAAACAACAACATAAAGCAAAGAGATCAACGGACTTTTGTTTGGGTCTGTCTCTTTTTTTCATTGGGGACATCGCGGTCCTGCAGACTGGGCCGATGTCTTGCCTCGCTTTCGCTTCTGGCTTTTTCGTCTCAGGCCACGGACCCACTGCCACCGGACCTGGCCAGAGCGCTCGCCTGCTTCGCCACCTGCCGGGGATCAAAAGGCCCCTTGGATCAAAAGGATCGAAGGGAGAAGGGGACCAATGCTAGGTATTTTCAGTGGCGCCCTTTTTTCCGCTTTTTATTTGGAAGGGTTCCCCTTTAAGCTCAACCAACCAAAAAAGGATGCCCTTTTTTTCCCATGGATATCCACTAAGCATCTGAGTAATGTCCCCGACTCATACACCCCTGTTTCTTAATATGGCTGGTGGTCAAAACCGTTCTGGGATCCCATTTCGGGGGGTTGGTGAATTCACCACCCCTTCTAGTCGACGTTTTCGTGGGGATGGGGATCTTCACTGGCCATATATGGGGGTGTTCCCTGCACGAGTGAGTATTCCCCACTCAAACCAGGGACATCCCCCAAGATATATATGAACTGGGGTTTATTAATCCGGGGCCAATTGAATGCATGGCTTGGAGCACCTGAAGAACGTGTCGCGAACATGTCAAGCTTGCAACAAGTCCTTGTCCATGTCTGATGCGGAGTGTGATGCAAGCCAGGATTTGACAGACAAGCGTGCCGCTTCCCCTATCTAGTCCCAAAGAGTTTGGAGAAGAAAACTGAACTGGGAAACCAACCTGGCAAAGTACCTAATTTTCAGTGTCGCATGTGATGGTAGTGGTGTTGGTGTTGGTGCGTGCGTGCGTGCGTGCGTGCGTGCGTGCGTGCGTGCGTGCGTGCGTGGGTGGGTGGGTGGGTGGGTGGGTGTGTGGGTGGGTGGGTGGGTGGGTGGGTGGGTGGGTGTGTGTGTGTGTGTGGGTGTGTGTCTGTGTGTGTGTGTGTGTGGGTGGGTGTGTGTCTGTGTGGGTGTGTGTGTCTGTGTCTGTGTGTGTGTCTGTGTCTGTGTGTGTCTGTGTCTGTGTGTGTGTGTCTGTGTCTGTGTGTCTGCGTGTGTGTGTGTCTGGTGTGTGTCTGGTGTGTGTGTGTGTGTCTGTGTGTGTGTGTGTCTGTGTGTGTGTGTGTCTGTGTGTGTCTGTGTGTGTGTCTGTGTGTCTGTGTGTGTTTGTGTTTGTGTGTGTGTTTGTGGGTGGGTGGGTGCGTAGGTGTGGGTGTGTGTGTGTGAGTGTGTGCGTGCGTGCGTGCGTGCGTGCGTGGGTGTGTGGGTGTGTGTGTGTGGGTATGCGTCTGCGTTTGCGTCCGCTTCCGCGTCAACCTCCGCGTCCGCGTCCGCGTCTGCGTCTGCCTGCGTCTGTGTCTGGGTCTGTGTCTGTCTCTGTGTCTGTGTCCGTTTCCGTGTCTGTGTCTGTGTGTCTGTGTCTGTGCCCGTGCCTGTGTGAGTGTGTATCTTTGTCTGTGTCTGTGTCCGCGCCTGGTTTTGATTCGCGGTACCGTTGCAAGTTAATGCGCTCCAAGGGATTTCTTGCAAGTATGGTTTGATACGCATAGAGCTCATATTTTTTTACGATGGATTTAAGAAGGCGTGGATGTCGGGTGTGGGGTTCAGCTACAAATATGGTTTACGCGTAGCCAAACATGGTTTTGGAAGTGATAACAGCGAGCAAACACACACACAAACACATACTGATACTCACATACTCCACACATACTCCACACATACTCCACACATACTCCACAATCACACAAACACACAAACACACAAACACACAAACACAACCAAACACAACCAAACACAGACACAGACACAGACACAGACACAGACACAGACACAGACACAGACACAGACACAGACACAGACACAGACACAGACACAGACACAGACACAGACACAGACACAGACACAGACACAGACACAGACACAGACACAGACACAGACACAGACACAGACACAGACACAGACACACACACACACACACGCACGCACGCACGCACGCACGCACGCACGCACGCACGCACGCACGCACACACACACACGCACACACACACACAACGCACACACACACACACCACACGCACGCACGCACGCACGCACGCACGCAGGCACGCAGGCACGCACGCAGGGCACGCAGGGCACGCAGGGCGTGCACGCGTGCACGCGCGCGCGCGCACGCACACGCACACGCACACGCACACGCACACGCAACACGCAACACGCGCACGCGCACACGCGCACACCCGCACACACGCACACACGCACACACACAACGCACACACACAACGCACACACACACACACACAACGCACACACACACAACGCACACACACACAACGCACACACACACAACGCACACACACACACAACGCACACACACACACAACGCACACACACACACAACGCACACACACACAACGCACACACACACACAACGCACACACACACACACAACGCACACACACACAACGCACACACACACACCACGCACACACCACGCACACACCACGCACACACGCACACACGCACACACGCACACACGCACACACGCACACACGCACACACGCGCACACGCACACGCACACGCTCACGCACCCACACCCACGCACGCACGCACGCACGCACGTGCACACACACCCACATACTCGTGCTCATGCAGGGGGGTTGTAGATGGCACACGGGTTTCCCTTTAAACACAACTTCATTTCTCGCACCACCATGTTGCGGCACGTTCCTGCAATTCTGGCAAACAGATGCTTTGAAGGATCCAGGGTAGCTTGGCGGCTGAGGGAACTCGGACCACTGGCTTGAAAAATGTGTTTGATTCCTGGAACCCAAGGGAGCACCGTTTTGGGGTTCTCCTATTTGACACACAGCACAGCTGTCAGCTCACTGGCCATGTTCGCCCAGGGCTCAACTCCACTGACTGGGCAGAGCCGCTTGGCGTTTACACAAGCCGCCTTCAAAAGAAGACCCACCCATTTGCTGAACTGTGTCGTTTTGGTTTGTCCGCTCTTCGATTGAATGGACATGTATCACTGGATATATATATATATATATGTCCATTCTTTTCCAGGGGCTATAAATCGCAAATGGAAGTTTTCCTTGAAAGACAACAAGCAGAACACCGTCGATTTGAAGGCTCGCTACGTAACACTCACCTGAGTGATCTTGTGATTTGCCTGCCACAAGGACATAGAGGCAGCATTGTCAGCATGTGCCTACATTTTTGCCCTTAGTGTCTACACATTTGCCACGGACTAGCTGGCGCTCTGTTTTGCCGGCTTCAAGTCTGGTCATTGAAATAGACAGCTGTTCCTAACTTCCAGAGGCGTGTCTGGCTAGCTTGATGCAGCTTGTCTTGGGTCAGTCTCTGCTCTTTTGCTGCGTTTCAGGTACGTCCCATTGGACGCATGGAGAGACAAAAAGCTGCTTGCTGCTCTGACTCGAAGTCGATCCACTTGTGAAGGTTGTGGGCTTCGGTCGGCGATGTGAACTTCGGGTCTAAAAAGCGACCACCTGTGATTAGTATGCTCCACCGGACTAGTTCAACGTTAGGATGATTGTGGTAAACAAGCCAGTCTTACGGGATTGGGCCAATCCACAGTGAGGAACCCCAGGATTGCAGCACCTGGGTGATTTTTAGGATTTCGAGCCCCCAAAAGTGGTTTCGGTTTTCCTTGTGGTTTCCCTTTGTAACAGACCAAGAAGAGGTGCCGACTCAGAAAAAGACGAGCCACCCACCTCGCAACTTTTTTGCGTGGCCATCGGAAAGCACCCGAAAGCCGCATACCTTCGCCTTCTCCTCAACATTTTGCCGACTCAAGTCTGCGGTTGTCTGAACCGAAGATTGGCCGAGGGCTCAGGCAAGAAAGGGGGCGGTCTGTTGAACGGAGAACCTCTATGCTTGCTCAGCTCAAGACAATGATGTCACAAGGGTAGAATGTTTCAGCTTCCCCCCAGACTGGTGATTTGGATTGGTGGATAGGATCTTTGGGGGTGGTTTCCCATTTACCCGGGCTGAAATCCCCAAATCAGCAATCCAAGACGACCAACTCAGGGTATGGTGAATATCTGTAGTGGGTCCTGTTGCATTCCCTTTCCGCAGACTAGCATCTCGACCCTGAGGGTCTTTGGAGTAAGCGGGAGCCCAAAAGAGACAATGTGCCAACTCCAAGAAAGGGGACCACACCCTGAGGAACCCCAAAGATTCGAACATCAGCATTTGGGCGCTAGCTTAAAGTGAGGTTGCTTGGGTGATGTTTGGAGAGGAAGCTCCGCACGCAGCTGAAACAGAGCCACAACGAATCTGAGATTTGTTCCCTTGGTTTCTATCAAACCGGGTTCCCTTTCACACCTGTGTTCCTTTTGGGGCAAGTGAAGGTCTCTGCGAAGGGAGCCCTAATCAAAGCCGCCGGTGGTTGGATTCCTGTTGGTTTCCCTCCAACCTTTGGGCCCACACAAAGACACTCCCATAGGAGCCCTGTGTGGTTTCTTCAGGGTACCCTTTGGGATTGGTTGAAAGGAAAACCGCAAAGAAAACACGTCTTTGCTTTTTGTTTCCGGGGTTCCCTCGATTTGGAGACAAACCCTACCCCTGTTTAAAACCCACCCCTTTACTCCCAGAAGTCTTTCTTTTTTCGATCGATCGCACCAAGATGACGCATGCCATGCGACAGGCATGGGGCGGGGGGGGGGCTTTGGGGGGTTGATCAAGGGGCGTTCCGTGAGGGAACTCTTCTCTCTTAACTGCCGCAAGGTTTATGAATCCGAGGTCGACATATCACCTAAATGAACTTACACCACCTATGTAGGACGGGCTTTGGGGTATATGCATCCTGAACGGCGCCTGTGCAATCATGTAGATCCCTTTCGAATCACCGACTCTGGGATTTGTTTGAGATATATTTCAGCAGAGCCTTAGATTTGCCGCAAAACGGCGGTAGGGTTGTAGTTCGCAAGATTCTTGGGTGCAACAGGATGGTGGATTGGCGTCCCGTCTCCTCGGTCTTCAACCGACAAGAGCTGCTGAGTAGAGCCTCCAGGCGAGTATATTGCCGGGTATAACCAGCGTGGGTCCCTACATGTTGGCCGTTTCGGCCCATGGATCATGCTTCAAGGCATCGAACATCTCTTGGTGAGCATCGAATCGCAGAAACACCTGGGCATTCTTGCATCCAGTGAGCTTGTCGCAGTCGCTCCTACGAGAATGTGGAGCATTGTCGGGCGATGTCACAGAGAAAGCAACAGGAACTCAACCATGTGCAAGGGTCCGACTGATTGTGACACTATGACAGTGGCCCGCACATTCAAATATGTATACATCATCAAGAATATGTTGATACACACATGACATACATGTATGCGGTATACACACATACATATGTATATCTGTTCGCTGACGCCACGCCTCCCCCGTGCCTTCATGTTTGACGCTGACCAGGCTTTGGCAGCGCGATCTACTGGCAACTGAACTCGAGGAGTTGTGCGGGCTTTTGCGAGGAAAGTACTTTGCTGGCACAACAGGCCTGTCCAAGCTCTAGCTGCCGTTGGTAGGTAAAGGGTTTGTGCTTGAAAGGCAGGACGAAGGGCACAAGATACTAGTTGATGCAAATGCAAAGCTTGGTACGTAGGGGTCATGATTGGGACTCTGTGCTTCGAGCTACCAGCACAGGCTACTAACCAGTTGGTTTGCTACCTTCGTGTGTTGCTAGCTGGTTACTTTCCGACTGGCTTCACTAAAAGAGCTGGATCAAGATTCGAGACTGTCCGTTTAGGATCGCATCCGGGTTTCAAACATGAGACGTTTGGACACCGATGTCCACCAACCACTCTTGACTGGGTTCCAACTCCTAAAGTTTTCATAACCCTGGGTCCTCCGTCTCCGGGTTATTTCTCAGTTGTTCCGTTCTCCGGGTTATTTCCAGGAGCCCCTCTGAAAAACTAAATTTCCCATGACTTGCAAGATCCAGGACCATCTGGTTCTGGTGCTGCGCCACTTTCTATCAGCCAGGGGAAACTGGTCTCCTCCCCTTCCCCCTCCCCTCCCCTCCCCCCTCCCCCTCCGCCCCCCTCCCTCCCCCCCCCCTCCCCCCCCTCAGTCATGCAGCCAATCTCATCGAAGGATGTGCTCGAGGGGAGGCTTGAGCACTGGCGCAACCAGCCGCGGGAGGCGGCTCAGGCGCGCGCTTTCGCGCGCGCGCTTTCGCGGTTTCGCGCGTTGCTGGCTGAGTGCGACCACAGCCCTATGAGACAAACTAAGTAAGGTTCCTTTGGCTTGTTTGGTGCTGTTAGGTGAAGGTTTCAGGGAGACCTTTTGGAAACAACTGTGGCGGGAAGAGCAACCCAAGGGACGAACATGATTTGGAATGGGATTTGTTTGTGGGGCTTTGAAACCACTAGCATTCTTCTTGATCATAGAAGAAGAATGGGGTAGTTGTTTGGCGATTTGGGGATGGCTTGTGCTGATAGATGGCTTCCAGGTGGGAAGAAGTATGGCTCTGTCAAACCGTCCGTTGGCTTGCTTTTCTGGAGAGACTAAAAAATAAAAAACCTTCAGTTGGCAAATGATCCTAAGGAAAAAGGTGAAAAGCAAGTTTCCTCTTTTGGGGAGACAAAACCGACCTTCAGTTGAAAAAGGAGCCGCAGACAAAAGGTGAAAAGGACGAGTTTCCTTTGGATAGCCCCCCTTCAGTTGATTAAGGATTTTAGGGAAAACTATAGTGAACCCTAAAAAGGAACAGCAAAAAGCAAACGAGTAACTGCAATCAGGTTATGAGAAACATCACCCCCTCCAAGAAGAAACAAGCTGGGGAGAATCCTGGAAGCTGACGATCGGAGGTCTTGGAAGACTGTATGCACTCTTGAACAGGCCGGCAGCTGCACCCTTCCATGGTTGCTTGAAAAGGTTGGTGAACTATGGCTTGCTGCCCAAGCGGTTTGATGTTGCCGCAGCGAAACAGGCAGCAAAGTGAAACACGCCCTTTTCACCTTTTTTCCTTAGGATCCTTTGCCAAACCCCTTCTTTGTATAGTTTCGGAGGCGTGATGCCCTGCATGACACAATGACCTGGGACATCCCTTGGCAGCAATTTGCCCCAAGTCGGGGTTTTCTCCCAAGAACGGCTGCCAACTGAAAGTCGGGGGTTTCTGCCAAGAACCACCACCCCACCACCCCACCACCCCACCACCCCACCACCCCACCACCCCACCACCCCACCACCCCACCACCCCACCACCCCACCCACCCCACCCACCCCACCCACCCCACCCACCCCACCCACCCCACCCACCCCACCACCCCACCCACCCCACCACCCCACCACCCCACCACCCCACCCACCCCACCACCCCACCACCCCCCCCAACCACCCCACCCTCCCCTCCCCTCCCCCCCCCCCCGGCAAATGCGTCCTTTTCGCTCATTTTCGCGCGGCTTGGCGCGCGCCAGCTTTGGCGGGCCTTGGCGCAGCAGAACCCGCGCCGTGCCCTCGCTGTGCTGGAGTTCTGCACGGCCCGGGGGGTCCAGGCCGGGTCGGTGCCGGGAAGATGGGTGGGTGAAGAGTCGAGTTGGTATTTTCAGGTAAATCCACTGGGATGGTTAAAATGGGATGAGTACTTGACTCACTGGTAAATTCCAATTCACTGTATTTTCAAGCGCTTTGACAAATGTTTCTATCAGGGGGGTGAGTTGTGAGTTGGCATGAATGGAATGTATAGATGCATCTGGGGTCCTGACTGCTGTGCGAAAGCACCCGGCAACAAAGATGTTAATATCGGTCTGTCTTTTTGTTGAGGGTACTTTTTGTGGTTTTAAAGGACACCCATCAGGAAAGCGACTTCTTTCTGTTGGGGGGGGGCCCTCCAAAAAAATCACACTCGTACGTTTTTGTTTTCTTTCACAAAACATGCCTAGACACATATAAATTATGGATATTTGTTCAGGAATGTTCAGGTGGCCAAAAGATAGACAATGAATCTTCAGCCCGCCCCAACGGCTCGAAGCAACCATAGGGGCCTCCGAACATGGTGAAGCGTATCAGTGAAGTTCGCGGCTGGCCCCAAAGGGCTGACAAGGCCCGTCAAGACCTAAGGTTGGACTTTTTGCTCGAGTAAAAGATGACCACAGCCCAGCCAAAATTGGTAGCCGTTTGTTTGTCACATGGCTGTGAGTCAAAACCAATGGTAACAGTTTGGGGTAGCTGCACCATCCATTTTAGTCTATTTTAATGGGGTACGGGATTTTGACAAATGGTCGCATAAGAAAACTGTTTGGTCTTTCCCATTTGGCAACAAACGTTCCCTTGTGACGGGCCCCGTTGAGGCAAGTGATCAGTAGCCAGGGTTGCCACCCACTTACCTCGCTTGTGCGTCCTTCCAAATCTGGCTGCTGCTACTTTTTAAGTGGAAAAACAGTAGCAGTGACTCCTTCTCATGTGGGTGCGTCTGTGTAAGGGAATCGTTTTTGGGGTGGTTCAAAAGGAAACACCTCATGGTAATGCTCGTTGGGGGGTTGCCTTGTTGGGGCACAGCCCCGAACTGGGTTCCGTTGTTTGACTTTTGCAACGGTAGACTTGAATGCAGGGGTTTCGCTTGAGAAGCAGACCACCCCTGGGTTTAGGTGTAAACATGGGATACTTAAAACAAATTGGTTTCCCGACCCAAGGTTCGGGTCGGGTAAGCCCCACGTTCTGTGCAGCAAAGTAGCGAAAGGACTTGGACAGGGTTGTCGCAAAGGTGCAGTTGAGAGCCAATCTTGCAAATTTCTGTGATATCGACAGAATCCCCAAGTCTGTTGCGCAGTGGTGCTCTTTTTTCCTGTTTTTGGTAAGGGTTCCCCTTGAAACTCCACCAACCCACGAAAGGGTGCCCTTTGTTCCATAACAACCCACTGGGCATCTGACTTTGAGTCGTCATGGGAAAGGTCCACGTCTTGGTATCACAAACGTTGGATGTTCCACGCCACAGGCGCCCGATGTCATCTCCTTCAACATGGCCATCCGTGCGGCGCAGGTAAGAGATTTTGCTGGGGAGCGGCGTGGTGGGAGTGAGCCCCTCTTTTTGCGGGGAATTGAAGGATTTGGGGGGGGGGTCCCCCAAAATGGGTTGGGTTTTTCTGTTGGTTTCCCCAACCAACACCAAAAAGGATACCACACCCAATAGCGGAACCGCTGCAAATTATTCGAGGATAAAAACAGAAGCACGGACTGCGGAAGGCAGGGATCCAGGATAGGGTCTAGTAAATTTTAGGAGCAATAAACGCCAGACACAGGAATATGCCCCCATCCTGCTCTTACACAGTCCAGGCTTCTTTCTTTGCCCAATTCCTGTGCTGAGATATGCAGATTTGGCAACTAATTGGTTCCATTTTGGTTTTCAGAACTGCCTTGGTCCCTCGCTCGGCCCTGACCATATTGCAATCCAAGAAGCGGACACAATGCACCACCTTGCACGTTGCAGCAGTGGAAAAATGGACAAATGCACAGAAAGCTCCCACTTCTTGCTTGGGTGAGAGCAATTGCACAAAGGAGAAGTGGGAAAGCCATGTAACGGTCTTGACTCCAGGCATGCTCCCAGCCTCAAAGCCTCAAGGCACTTGAAGGCGATCGGTTGGAGCAAGCCTCAAGCAGAAAGGCGCAAGCCTTAGCCACATGCGTGGCTTGCGCGGTTACATACCTCCTAGCCCAATTTACCACTCAATTCAGAAACCGGCAACGCCCCCCCCCCCCCCATGACCCAATTTACGACTCAATTCAGAAACCGGTAACTCCCCCCCCCCATGACCCAATTTACCACTCAATTTCCTCCCCCCCCCCCACAGCCCAATTCAGCAAACCCCCAACTTGCAGGGGCAGTGGCAGTGTGCTTTGGAGTTCCTCCATCAGCTCAAGTCCAACCTCGTGCAAAGCTCCCAAGTGACCCTCAACACCGCAACTCGGTTTCGAAGGACCACGGGGAGCATCGCCAGCTTCAAATGTGCATGGCTGGGACTCAAAAGAAGGGTGTCATTGGCTTTCCCTTCAAACCACCCCCAAAAAGGGTATCCTCAAAAAACACGGGCCTAAACATGGGTTTTGTTGGGATTAGCGGTCATCCCTTCAGATAATCATTTCAGGCTTCCCATGGAGACACGTCCACCATGCGTTCCGCGGAAGTCTTGGACGGATCACCAGGCACGCCTCAAGGGCCAATGTTTGGCATATTCAAACCTGTCTGCCTCTTGTGCGGCTACTGTTGCAGAAAGCAACGCTTGACTTTGCCGCAGCGAGGCAGTCGAAATGAGCTGTTTGACTTACGCCAGGATGTGGTTGATGAATGCATACTTGATTCTGGCCCGATGCTGGCAGATTTGCGCACCATGCTGGATAGGGTGAGAGGTTCGGCGGCACAGAATAGGTAGTTTGCTTGCGGTCTTCACTTTTGGCTTGCAATTTTGCTTTGGGCGGCCAAGTATTAGCCAACGAATAATTCTACTTGTAGGATAAGATGTTCCTTTCTAGCTTTACCCTCCTCACTCTCTTCAGGGATCCTTCTCTTTAAACATGGGCCGACACGACACAAAACGGAGAATCACCTCCTGGATCCTGCCCAAGGACCTAAGAACTTGCTGGTTCTCAGCAGGGAATGGGGAAACAACCCCCACAAACCCTCCCCGATGGTTTCCTTGAAGGAAATGAATCCAGCGGTTCATTCCAGAACCCTGGGTCATTTCCTACTGAGCACCAGCATGATATTCAATGTCTCCCACCAGGGACCTTGTTTCTCCTCAGGGTGAATTTATTTTTAGGGGGAACAGATGATGAATCTAAATACCCCGCCCAACAGCGTGAGGGCTTTGCCTCCTAAGGAGGATCAAGAAACCTTTTGTATAGGCATCTCCCCGTTTCGGGTGTCTTTTTTTTGAACACTCCACAAAACTCTAATACGAATGGTGGTTTCCCTACCTTTACAGCCACAAAGAAGGAGCATCCTCCGGGAAAAAGAAAGAAAGACAAAAAACGACACACCCATTTTTGGTTGGTGAAGTCTTGCTTCCTTCACCCTGGAGATGTTTGCAGCTCCGCCCCTCACACGAAGCACGCTACGGTACGTATGTGGCCTGAGGTCATCACCGCTCTGGAACGCGGCCGCTGGCAGAGGAGCCTGCTCCATGTGGCTGAGAGCAGAACCAGCTCCTTAGGGCCGGATGCGGCTCGCTCCGAATTGCAGAAGGGGGGGGAGTCGAGTTTGCCGCTCGTTTCTTCCATGAGGCAATTTGGCATTGTTTCTTCTCCGCAGCCGCATTCTAACGATTTAGGAGCGCATGGTACGTGCAGAGGGACCGATTCTGACATGGGGTTGAGATGTGTCCAATACTTCCATGTAGTTTCCCTATGAAAGCCGGTCAACAAAAGGACTCCAAATCCATTTAGGTCAATAACAAGCTCACCCATGAAGGTCCTCTACCGAACTGGCAGGAGGTGGGTGCCTTATGGGAAGAACCGTATGTTGCCTGCTTAGCCGCCCAATGCGTTGCTTATACATTTATAAACCTAAGAAAGGCGTTTGTGATTTTGAGGGTTTCTGGTTGGTTTAATCCAACAGGAAAGCCATTTTGGGTTACTGTAGCTACCTGAACCCACCTTGTTTTAGGACGCCAAAAGCTTTTGCATGATTTGGTTTCAATCGCTGGTTTCCCTTTTGCACAGAGTTCCGTCGGGTGCAGTCGCTCTGAAACATGGGTCTGCTTGGCCGCAAGGTTTCCATTTCTGTGTCAAAATAGGGCGAACGAGACATTTGCAGATTTGGATATAAATCCTAAATCGACGACCGCCAAAGTTTAGCCAAGCCCAAATCAGTGAGGTAAGGGACCCAAAATCCCCTCCGTTTTTTAGGGGACCCCACAAATGGTTGGTTTTTCTTGAAACCCTAAAGAGACACGCCATACCCAGGAAGGTGGTTGCAACATAGGTCGCTCGTCTTTTTTTGGAGCCTCGGTACCCCTTGTTTGGTTGGTGTTGAGGGGAAACCAAGATGAAAGCCGTGACCCATAGTTGGGTGTAAGAGCTGGGGCAAGCCGCAGGCTTTGGTGTTTGCCACTTGTCATGCCATTTGGGCACAGGTCCATTTGGAGCCACAGGTCCATTCTATTTTTGGAGCATCTGGAGGGGGTTTGCAACTAGACCTGTCCTAGGGGAAGTTTTTTTCGATTCTTTCCGTGGATCCTTCCTTTTCAGGAAACCATCCACTCCATGTAAACAGATGGTTGAAGAAGAATGGGCGGTTGCAAATCCGTTGGACGAAATCCTGCACCACTTTGAAACCATATAGAAAGCCCAGTGTTTGCTGGTACTTACAGGGGGAATCCTCCAAAAAAAAAGCGGGGAGTTCGTTGGTGCGACCTGGATTTCCTTCAGCCGTGTGGTGTCCGTACCACGGTTGTTGTTGGGAAACATGTTTTTACATGTTTGCTTCTTGTGGTTTAGTGGTTGAAATCCAAATCCACTGAACTGCTAAACATTATTTGTTTTGCGGTGGTTGAAATCCAAATCCACTTAACTGCTAAAGAAACAACATGTTGAACTCCAACTCCACTGAACTGCTAAAGAAACATTTTTTGTTTTGCGGTGGTTGAAATCCAAATCCACTTAACTGCTAAAGAAACAACATGTTGAACTCCAATTCCACTGAACTGCTAAAGACAAAACAACATGCTCCCCTTCCCACGTCAAGCCTCGCGATACACGACAAAAAAAGCTCAGCGCGAGCTCAGACGGTGACCTGGAACAGCCTGGCCTCCGCCGCGGCGCGGGCGACCCGCTGGCCCCAGAGCCTCGCCTTCGCCTTCCAGGCGCCAAAGGGCGGCGCCAAAGGGCGGGTTGGGTCCAGCGCGAACGGGGCTGCGGGGTGGGGGGTTGAACCCAAAAGCACCGAAGTGGTTGGGTCCAAAAAGCAACGCCCATAGACCCGGGCGACGGACGATGTTTTTGTGAGTCTCTTGGTTTTTGGAGAGGAAAATCGGGGCCTATCACAAAATAGCATATGGGCGGGAATTTTGCGGGTGAGAAATGTCCACCAACCACTGGTCACTAGTGGTTCCGAGTCTTTAAAGTCATGGACATATCGGATTCGCATGACATCATAGTTGACGACCTCCTTTTTAACAAGCCAAATCTGTTATGGGGTACTTGTGGACCCTTTGAGGGGTTTGTCACTCGCTGGGTGCAAACAAAACAACCAAGCCTTAACGGCCCCAAAAGGAAACCAAAAGGGGTTGGGTCCTTTGTTAGTTTTCCTGGCAACCACAAGGGGATGGGCAATTTTGTTTATTTGTTCCAGGCCCCCTATTCAGCAGCAATACAAAGCAGAAGGAACCCAAACAAGGATCATTACGACGTTCAACCCGATTTTTCGGTTCTGACCCCTGCGAATCAGCATGAAACTCAGCCAAAACATGTGTTTGTGTTTGCCGTCAAAAAGAGGACGCCTTTTGTGCAACCCCGTGGCGTTTCTGTTTGTGTTTCGTTTCATCTGGAGAAGCGTTTGGGGGACACTCCCCCACTCGGTAGGATGCCGACATCTTTGGCTTCAACACCGCCTTGAGTGCCTTGCAGATGCTTCGACTGATTTGCCTTGGGAACTCCTCCCAACAATCGACCTCCAAACGCAGGACCACGCATACCCACTTCCCGAGTTCCGTTTCGGACTTCAGTCGCTTTTGGCGGTTTGACCATGTTGGTGGCAAATAAGAAAGCATGGGGACTTTTGGCAAATCCACTAAGGAAGAAAGGCTAGGAGGGGTTTGTTCATAGACAGACATTGCTGTTAGTGGCGGACAGCATCCCGTTTACCGTTTTGTTTCCCCTGGAAGTCACGCTTTGGCTTCACATTTGTTTTATTTTCCCCACAATGCGAAATATGTTCCACTATAATATGATCTGCAACAGATAACTTCCAGACTTGCAGAAAGTGTTTCAGGAAGTTCTCCGGTTTGCAGATTGGATGGCTCGTGTGTCAAAGCTCTACATGGGCGCATCTCCGAGGAAAGCTTCCATGTGGGCGTCTACACAGGGACTGTTGTCAACAATGCACCTGGGCAAAGAGCTATTGCTTGGATCATTGGATCTCTCAAATTCTCGTGACCATTTGGGCACGGCGTTTTCACTGGGAAAATCGGGGTTATGGTTTTCTTCCGCCCCTCATGTTGGTCTTGCTTATTAAGCGTATCCAATCTTCAGCAACGCCAGCCTGGCGGCTGCGGGACCCTGCCCATGGATGGTTCCCTGTTGGTCCCTTCAAACGGGAGCCAAACGGTCGAGCTAAAACCGCGCTGAGATGTGAAAACAATTGCTCTCTGAACGGGTTGATTGCCTTTGCCGAGGTTGTGGCAGATGGTGATGGTTTTCCCGAATATTGCCAGACAGCTGCGTCCCGATATGTCTTTTGACATCAGTCCCTCCACACCCATAAAAGGACCCCCTATGAACCATATGGTTTTCCAGGGATTTCCTTGGCTCATTCCCGAATCGCTATTCCCTACCTATCGCAGAGGCAAGTTTTTGGCTGAAACTCAAAGCGGTCGGCGCTCGAAGGCGTTCGGCCGGCGTCGAGCCGGACGGCTTCAGCACGAGCACGGGTCTGGCGGCGCTCCCAGCGGGCAGCTGGCGCTTGGCGCTCCGATGGACGGAGGCCAGCGAATGGGCGAGCTGTTTCGAAGGCTCCAAGTGTGCAGATTTTGGGCTTACTCAAAGGGAGGTCGGGATTTTTGTGAAGTCAATTTCGGCAAATCCGGGCATTTACCCTTTTTGGCTTTACTGAAGCACATGGAGTTGCTATTTCTTCCTGTTGCTTTGGCTTTGGCCCAGATAGGCTCCGGAGTGACTCCGGGCGTTCGGGTTCCGGAAGGGTTCCAGAGATTGTTGGGGATTCCACCTGGGCTTATCTTTTGGGTTTCGCCCTTTTGCCGTAGTTTTACTGAAGCCACTGAGAAAACCACGCCTTTTTGGACTCGGGTGAGATTGTTCCGGAGGTGGCAGCCCTTTTTTGGTTTGGAGGTGGTAGCTTTTTGGGGGCACTTTACACTGAAACTGGAGGACCCACCCCGTTTCAGGAGGTCCCCAAGTTTGAGACACTCAACTTACGCTGCAGGGACTCTTTGAGATTTTTCTGAAAAAGAGGGGGCCCCATAGAGATACTGGCGCTTTTTGGGAGAGCTGGGGGTTTACATTGTGGCGTCTTGGAAAGATATGATTTTTTGTTTGTCAACCTGCTTGTATTTGGTATTTGGGTTGGTGTTTTTGTCTTTGGCTTTCCTTTCAATCCAAAATTGCAACACCGGAAACCAGCAGGGGGCGGGCAACAGACTTCATTCAACCCCCCCTAAGAGTCCGTCACCCGAGCCCCGAGCGAGGCAGCGAGCGACGTGGTGGCTCAGAGCTGCTCGGCAACGACCGTAGGGCACGGGCAAAGTTGCCTAGAACCCAGGAGGGGAAATGCGGAGAATCCCGTGGAGGAAGGCAAGTGGTCGGAAGTGTTTGGGCGTTTTTGCATGTTGGAAAGGAGCCACAGTCAAAGCCGAGCGGGTAGCAGGTGAGAATGGGGGACAGTCTGTAAGAAATACTGTAGGTTCCGCCCTTTTCATTCTTCACTGGGTTTTCAGCGTGACGTTTTCCACACCAGCTTTCGATTGTGACTCGGATGTTCCGTTGCCTCAGGAACATGGTTGGCAGCTGGGTGTTTCTCAGATGTCTTAAGAACCCCACCTCGGGTGGTTGGTTGCTTCACGACTTGCAAGCGCTAGTTATTCTGGTTAATATTTTTGTTTTTTCATTTATGACAATTTCGTTGGTCGAAGGTCGAAGCTGGATCGGCCTGAGCAAAGCAACCTGAGGTGACTATATAAGGAGTGGTTATTTTTGGTCGACCTCACTTCAGGTCAGGTCCCCTCTGAATTGGTGGTTTGGATTGGTTTGGCGATTACTCCTAGAGGTGTTCTTCTTTTGGGGGACCCCCTAAAGTCCAAACCACCAATCCAAACCGCAGGGGGAAGCTAGCTTGGCTTATGTGTGAAATGGCTGGGCCAAGCGCCCAATTCAGGTGCCGCCATAGCAGCCTGTGAAGCTCGATGGGACGTGGCCCTGCAAGTCTTTGGAGAGATGCGCGCCTCTTGGCGATGTCACCCGTAAACACACACCAACCACAGGCCACACACACAGACACAGCCCTTGAGGACTAAATTGATCGAAGCTCAAGGTATGTTGGAGGGGGGGGCAGGTTGGAGGGTGGCGTGTTTGCGGCGTAGGAGCAGTTTGACGAGCCGAGTTCGCGCTTGAGGCCTTTCTAGTCCCACAAAGACCCAAAAAGGCGGTCCCCCCCTGCGCGACTGGCATTTTTGGTCCACGGCGATGACCCACTCAAAAGAGGGGGGGCCATATCATGACCAGAGCGGTGCGGGGAGGTTTCGCCATTTGGTCATGGGTCAAAAGCTAAATCGTACCCCCAGTCAGCATCCCAATCCCCGCTAAAATAGGTTCTAAAATGGGTGGTGAATTCACCTACCCCAAAATGGTACCAAAAAAGGTTTTGACCCACAGCCATTTGACCCCACCCCCAGGACCCCACCCCCAGGTCCCCACACCCAAGAGGTGAGGCACGGTGCGGTGAAGTTTCGCCATGTGACCCAAGCCCAGCGCCAAGCCTCGAGTCGAGGGCGCCCGCCTGGATCTGGTCGCCCACAACTCCGCCATCGCCGCCTCGGGGCGGCAGAGGTGGCAGGCGCCGCTGGAAATGCTACGCGCCCTGGCGCTCAGGGCGGGGGCCATGGCTCACTCTCCACCCTTGAGTTCGAAGGAATCGGACATTCTTGGATACAGCGAGATAAGCTTCCATTTGCCAGGAATGCCGACAGGGCGCCAGCTGTGTACAAACGTGTGTTGGCTCCAAATGTGAGTGGGGGTGCCCAAACTTGGGGTACAATCTTGCAAGTAAATACCCACCGAACACCAAAATCGACCCGTGGGTTGTCCAGCTTGTTTGTAAGCGAATCGACCTGAACTGACCTTTTGGTTTTTTATGGGAAAGATGAAGGTTCGGATGGGGTGGGATCCTACGGATGGAATCACTCTGGGTATGGCAGATACTTGTGTCAAAATGGAAAGCGCCAGAAAATGGTGGCTGTCAAGCATCTGGTTTGGTTTTTGGTTCTCCTCTGCCACGAGTTTCCTCAACAGCACACATTGGCCCAGAGTTGTACTTGGCAGAACGGGGAAGTGAGGCTTTTCGCAAGGCCATGAGGATCCCAACGCCCCCTTGAAGTGGCCCAACGACTCAAAAGACGACGAGTCGCATGCGTGATGCTCCTACAATGACCGAAGGTTTGAAGGTGTCCCGCAACCAGCAAGCCAATTTTAAGGGAGAGGCACTCACCTGGGGCCTGAAACGACTAAAAATAAATGGTTGCTTTGTCTCACGGCCGTTCTTGACTCACTTCGCCCGAAACTGGCCGGACCAGGGTGGCTGACAGGAAAGCAGCAGAATCTGCCATGTATTCACAGACGGTAAAATGACTTGTAGCCCAGCCTAAGCAAGAATAGTAAGTCCATATGACAAATTAAGAGCACAACAAAAGAAGCGGGAAACCTCAGTTTGTCGCCATGTGTTTGCCAATATGGATGACGCGCATAGGTTCCTTCGGTGGGGACCAAAGATTCTTCAATGCTAAAACTGCGAACCGAAAATAATCATATTTGGTAAAAGGCCCATGCAAAGTGTCTTCTTCAATGCTCGCATGCAAGAGTCATGCCAACGTTGCACTGAAATAGTGAACCGCGGGGCTTGTACCCAAAACGAGCAAATTTACTGTTGTCCGAAAAACCCGCGGCTTAGAAAACATGTGCTTTCGGACACCACCAAAAAAAACAACAACAACGATTGCAGTCAGCTGTAGTTAAGTAGGACAGCTTCGACTTTTAGATTCTGGATGTTGAAAGGGTCCCATGCAGAAAATAAAGAACTGCCCTTTTTCGACTGGTACAGATGCATACCTGAACGCTGCGTATTCGAAGAACGTATTTCGATCGAACCATCCTGGGTCTGTCGCATTCGAGCTCAGGTTGATTGGCCAATCACCGTTTTTGTTGGTCGAAATTGATTTTCGAAACAACTGTTCTTACCCGTGCAACGCCCATTCTTACCCGTGCAACGCCCATTCTTACCCATGCAAACGCCCAGATTCAAAAAGCCGCGATTTTTCGGATCTCAAATTGTGTTTGATCGGCATCGAATTCAATTTTGCCCGGTCGCTTTCGAAACGTAGCTTTCGAAAAAAGGTTCGAAATAGGCTTTCAAAAAGGGCTTTCAAAAAGGGGGGGCTTTCGAAGGCGGGCGCTAAGAAGGTTTCGAAAGGCGGCTTGCGAAAGGGGGGTTTGAAAGTGCGAAATAGGCTTTCAAAGGGGTGTTTCAAATGGAGGTTTTTGAAAGAGGGGGTTTGAAAGCGGCTTTCGAAAGGTTGCTTTCGAAAAGGGGTTCCAAAGAGGCCTTTTCGATGTTTCCGAAAAGGAGCTTTCGAACAATATGTTGCCTTCGAAGCATTATTCGAGAGCAGGCTGCGTATCAAATGGCAGAACTGATTGCGCGCGAGGAGAAAGGCCAAGAGAGCTTCACATCAAAGAGCTTTGAATTGGACAATTGTTGGATCAGTCGAACCCTGGTACGCTTTCGAAAGCTGGCATGCGCCATCGATCATGGGTTCTGGACGCAGTAGGAAAGATTTTGCGTTATTCTTTGAGCGTTCGCAGAAAAGGGGCTGCGGCTGAAGTGCCGCACAAAATCTTGAAAATTCAGTCATCCGACTCTCCTGAAACGGCCGTGTTTGAAGCAAACGGCCGTTCTCACATGTCCCACTTCTGGACGACTATTTAGATTTGGTCTTTTGGGGTTCCAGGCAGTTGTCACTTTTTGTTTTTGGCTCATAGCAAGCCAAAGATTAAGGGCACTCTGGGCTGACGCCATCAGGTTTAGTGCCAGCCAAGGAGACTTGGAGGATGCCGCACTTCAAGCGGCCGCTTTGCCATGATATGTTCCTTCCCACATGGATTCGCGGCTTCCTGGCAGCGACCCCTTCTCAGGTTGGTCGACAGGAGACCAACAGCAAACCCCGTTTTTTCCCGGGGGGTCTCCAATTTTTGCGGCACATACCCAGATGTCAAAAGCAGGCGCCCCCAAAGATGGTAAGCATGTCAGCCAACAAGGTGTCCCTCGTTCTTACACATACCCACATAGTTGCCTTTTCCTTTGGCCCGGTGATGACCTGCTCGGCTGCCCAAAGCGAATCGGCCTTTTGACCTTTTGGTTTCGAAGGGCGGGATTGCCGTCAGAACATTTGCAAGTAGGGTTCATCTCCGCATTTTCTAATTAACCAGGATGGACATTTGGGGTGAGACTGGGTAGAAACTCCGGGTCTAGACGGAATGCAGGATCTCAGGGCGAGGCGTTTGCTCAACTCCAAAAGTCTCAGCTTGCCAGGGGGGGTACCTTCCACAACAAGACTTCAATAACAGCGACAAAAACAAACTAACAACGGGTATTGAAAGCTGAGTTGAAGCGTGGTTGGTGCGCCCCCTCTCCCTGGTTGGTGCGCCCCTTGCTTTCTTTGAGGGAGCCAGGGCAGCAGTGTTGCCTTGCTCAGATGCTCAGCCCCCTCCAGCGGCTATCCTGGACTACGCAACACTCCCTACACAGGTAAGCTCCGTGTAGCGCTGAACGCACAACAGGCTGCAGCAATAAAATAATCCGGACTTGGAAGCAGGTGGGTACTTCTTTGCATAAATGGAGTACTTCAGAAGGTCCAACTACGTTACATTTTTGGATTTGCAGAACTTGCAACTGACGACCTTTAGCAAGCCCAAATCTGGAAAACCATGGGTTTGTCTCAAAAAAACGGACCCCCCCCCAAAAAAAAGAGAAGAAACTGGCGCAACAGAAGACACACCCATATGGGGTACTTGGACCCTTTGAACCAACCCAAGTTGTAGTGCAAAGACCACCTTTGAGAGCCGCGGGAAGGCCGGTGAATTCGATGTCGACCCATAACAGGGAAGTGGACTCGCAGGTTTTTTGTCCACGTCCTTGTGGGAAAAAACAAGTCACAGTGATTGCAGTTGCTTGAAAAGTAGGCAATGGAGAAACCAGCCATTTGAAGGACTGGTTACCAACTATACTGGTAAATGGGAACCGCTGGGGTTGATTTGGATCGTGCCATGTCAGGACATCTATAGCTTTGGTGCTGTCATCGCCTCAGTCGCAGATGCGGGTTGCTGGCAGCTGGCGCTGTGGCTGCTGGCGAGGCGAGGCTGCCTTACCACAAATCACTTTTCTGTATGACTTACGAACTTGTGCATCACCCGCACTGGCTGGGAACAAAAGGACACCTTGTAATGTTTACCCCATATGAATCACCCCCACTTTATTAATTGGGGGTGTCCCTGGGTGAAATGTGGGGAATCATCACTTTTGGGCGGGGAACACCCCCACATTAATATGGGGATTGGGGGTAAACATTAGTTGACTTTCAAGTGAAACCTCCAAACAAATAAACTGGCAAGGCCATGTAAGCCAAAGAAGGTATAGGGAACTATGCCATGCCTTGTGTGTCAAATAAAACGGGAAATCTGGAGGTCTGGGAATTTGCTGCCAATGGACAGGCTTTCTTCGCGATCCAGTCGTTGGTTTCCAGCCCTTGGAGGAAAGGGTGGGCTTTCCGCGACCTAAACTTCAATGCTGTAGGCGCACTTTAGGTTGAAGTCGGATTGTCAGCATAATTCTTGGGTGAATTTGATGTTTGTGTTTTCAGCAGAAATTGCGGTTGAAGTTGATCTTCATTTTGATCGGTGAGTTCTATTGTCAGCGGGAATCCGGATTACTTGTGGGAGGGTGTTTCCCGCTCAAAGATTCCACGTGCGGTCAACATTATGGATCCGTTCTGGCCAGAAAACTGCTTCACGCCCATGGGTTCGAAAACATGGGTTTCCTTTTGAGGTCAATTTGGTTAGACATAGATGGCACCTGGTTTAAGGTTTCGATTGGTGTATTGGTTTTATGCCCCATTTACCAGGGACCCCCCACCTAGTTTAACAAAAGAACACCATGGCTTCGGGACTGCCTTGCTGAAAAGAAAGATCCGTTGAATGGGGAAGTGGCTGGATGTTCGGGTTCCGTGTTCCTGTGATGCAGCCATCTTACTACGGCTTGTCAGGGTTATAGAATCCTTTGGGTGGGTTGCTTAGGGGATTCCCTAAGGGAAATTTGCTACCCAACCCAAGATTTCTTTCTTGGCGGTTCCTGGGGTGAGTTGCCTGAGCCAAAGTCCGGCATCTGGCAAAAAGTGCTGGGGTCGATGGATATCATCTCAAACCAAAACCAAGGTGAAGGGGATACCTTTTGCAAGGCGACCCAGGCGACCCTGCCCAGGGGGAGCAATCGTTTGCCTATCACAGGATTATTGTAGAAGTTTTATGCCCAACTATGTGACGAAGAAACTTAACTTCAAGCTTCTTTTGATCTTGTGTTGATGTAGATCTTCAACACCTATGAAGCCTGGAAAACAAGCTTGTGTTGAAGATTATTCTTTCCCTTTCAGGGTAGCTTGAACAGTTGCCTACTTCGCAACTCGCGCCTGTCCTCGAATTGAATTTTGATTGAATCAACTTCATATTGGATCTGCCAGTGTAAAGACAAGTTCACTGCGGGTAAAGCATCAAGGGCATTTGGGTGGGAGTCCTTGTTTGGTCTGGTGAATGGGTGTAAATCATGCAGATGGATTGCTGCCCAACATGTACTGGGACTCTCCCTACAATAATCTTACTTTGGACGTTGATGTGTGGCGTGTTGCATGGCTAAAGTGGACATGCGCGATTCCAGGGATGGTTCTTTTTCCTCCAGTGTCGTTGGAGGCTGCTTTTCTTTACCTGAACGCTTCAATGATGTACTGATCTCAGCCAACCAGCACACGCGGACCTGCTGTTGAATATACGCATTGCTTGGGCAAAGCTTTTGGAACACGTGAGAGCCTAGGCCATTTGGAATAGGTCGGGCAAGGACTTGAAGACATCCCTCACTTGGGTCAAGCCATTTGGAGCTGCCGTTCCAGATGAGCAAATCCTCAAGGTCCCAAAGATGGCGCGCTTTCGCGTCCCCACTCCTATGTGGAAGACAAGCATGCTCACTCCAAAATTGCACCCAAGCTCAGGTTGCATGTTTCTAGGGGACACTTCCCCATTCTTTCCATGAGAACCCCAGGGGAAACAGCTGGTTTTTGGAAAGGACGATGGTTGAGAAGAATGGTTGGAACATCCCAATCCTCACTAAAATAGACTAAAATGGGTGGTGCACTTACCCGAAAAATGGTACCATTGGTTTTGACCCACAGCCAAATGTTTCCCTAGCTCAGGTTGCATGTTTGTTGGGAGCCCGTTGCGCCGGAGTGATCCAGGACTGGCCCCAGCACCATTTGCCTCAACGCAGCGGTTAGCGCTTGCGAGAAGGCAAGTGTCAAATGAGCAACGCTCGATTGGTCACGGTCATCTACGGGAAAGCGAGTGACATAGGGGTGATTTGCATCAAAATACAATTTGGACACGGGGGCCACCGCACATGGGGGGCCACCTGCCAGTTGCCATGTTTATATTTTATTATATATATATATATGTCGCTATGTACCGTTATATGTCATGCCCAACTGTCCATGTTAGGGACACACAGTGCATGTTGGCTCAATGCATTTTCCCTGAGACTCCAATAGAAACAGGGCACCCAGTTTTTTCTTCTTTTGGAAGACCCTTCATAGAGGTGCCCTGCCCTCTCTCAGGCGGGGCAGTGGCAGTGGGCGCTGGAGCTGGTTTCGCACTTTGGATGCAGAGAGCCGCAGGAGATTGATTTGCTCTGCCCGAAGCGAGTTGACCTTTTGACCTGTTGGTTTTCCTTGTTGGTCTCAATCGACCTGTTGACCTTTGTTTTCCTAGGTTTGGTCCAGTTTTAGTAAAGGTCTAAAGGTTCCCAAAGATGCCTTTGGGCAAGTGGGTTTAGGCCCTATGATTCCATTTCCCGAGGCCACCGAGGGAGCTTTGTCCAGGCACTTGTTGGAAGCTAGAAGGAAAAAAGGCAAATGGTTACCTGTCAAAGCGTCTCAGTTGGCTAAACGCGTACTAATCGTTTACCCCTAGAGCCTACAAATGAATGACCTTCCCGGCCGCCCCAGACCCCCCAGACCCCCAGCATGGCCTTTGGGATACGCTCTGGACGGGTGGTGCCAGTGCGGCGGAAGCCAGGGGCCACCAATTCCTTGGCCGAAAAAAGGCAAAACACTCCCCTGCTGGTTTTGAAGGGAGTCGGAAAAAACCAACAACTCTCCTGCTGGTTTGAAAGGGAATCGATTTCACTACTGGACATGGGTGTTTTTTGTCGGGCCGAAAAAGCAAATGGAATAATTTCAGCAAAGGAAGGTTGTTTCAAGTGTTGGGTTTTAAATATGTCGAGGGCCTTGCGACCTCGGTCCGCTCCGCGCTGGACACGTGGACAGGTCGAAAGCCTCTTTGCGAGACACCACAACCTTTAACGCCGCCGTAAGCAGCTGTGGCCGCAGCCCGGCTGCTAGTGTTGGGCCTTTTTTTCTTGCATTTGGATCTTGCAGCTTCATCTTGTTGGCGAAGTATGCGTATGCCAACTTAGTGCAAACAAGTTGGTGGCCAACAAGCGCCAACGAGACGAAGCACGGGGCAAACTTGCGGGTTGGATCCAATTTTGTGGACCGAGCAGGCCTTGAAGCCGAGGTTGGGTCTGCTTTTGTGTTTCTTTTTTTTGCTTGAATAAACTCAGGTATCCCTTAATTGGTGGTTTGGATTGGTGGTTTGGGTTTCAATCCAACTTCCTTTTGATGTGAAGCCGGTGCCTCTAACGTCCAAACCACCAAATCGATCGATTTGGGTAGCGTGATGGCTGTTTCGGCCAGCACGTTCCCGGTTCGCTGCAACGATACGACTCGCTACGTCGAGAGGAAATTTCAGGTATAGCCGTGGTATATGGGTGTGGCTCAAAATTAAGCACGGGGGGTTACGCAGGTTTTGGTCCATACTTCCACTTGCCAGGGCAACCCATTTTGGAATCCCGGTTTTTTGAGCCAGAGCCATATAAGCCGTGGTTTGGATCGGTTCGGATGGCACCTCAACCTTTGGTTCTTAAATGGGAAACCACTCCGCCTCCAATCCGCCGGGCTCCAAACCAGAGGGAAGCTGAGAATTCGCGGATGGCCTCGGGGATTCCTGGTTTCAGGGAACGCCGGGTCCACCCAAAAAGATGTCAAGGTTTGGATCGATCCTTTGCATCCCTTTCCAGTCGAGTCATAGGTCAAATCTATGCAAAACTACTCGATCCCAAAGGTATCCACAAAACAGCCAGGATTCGTGCCGATCATGAGAGTCTCCCTGATCCCAAGATTGACCCAGAGAGCCTGGGCACACGCACAGGTACACATCACGCTTTTCTTTACCACATACTGGCTTCAACATGGTAGCCTCTTTGGTTTGCTTTCTTCCAAGAGAATCCACAAGGACCCTGGCCATTTCGGGATTTTGCGAGGTCCCTTTCAGAAAACTCCATGTCAATGGGCTGAGGAGGGAGCAATTGGCAGATGGCGCTAGAACTTCTGCGTGTCATGAAGCAGGAGCATCTGCAGCAGGCGCGTGTCGGGACCGATTCAAGGGTGCATAGCGTGGATGGACAAAATCCTCGCCCGGCACCAGTCGGTTGGTTCGTCCCAGTATTCATGGCTCAGGTTTTTGTCCATCCGCAGGATTCCTGTTTGGTGAGCTTGGTTGAAACTCGAGTTTGGTTCTTATTATGTTCCAGTGCCAGGTACTGTTCCAAAAGAACTAGAGCTCGGTGAGTCGTGAGTCCCAAAGCCTCTGAAGCATCATCCAACAAGGGCGTTTCGATTGTGAGTCGATGTTTATGGAGGCGGCGCGCGACCTCTCCTGGTTGATAGGAAACAGATATGATATAGACGTATAGAGTTGTCAGGTTGTATGGGTTTGACCCTCAAACCGATATCACCGGATTTCCGCTAAAAGCTGTGGTGGTTTCCATTGACAATGCCACTTTTGGAGGTTCCGAAAAGGGAAATGGCTCGGAATCCCCGCTCCCCGGGTTTCAAGGGGTTGGGTGAAAAAAGCCCAGGATGTGATCTCCTATCACGCGGCCATCGCCGCATGCGACCGCGGCGGGCGTTGGCAAGAGGCCGGTGCGAAGCACGACTCTCGGTTTCTCCCCTCTGGAAAACACCACGGAACCTGAAATACTTGCTGGTTCTCAGCAGGGAATGAGAAGTGGAAGGACACAGCAGAAAAAACCCATCCCCTATGGCTTGCTGTGAGGGAGTTTCCTTCCGGTTCATTCCTAAAAACCGGACTCGGTCATTCCCTACCTATCACACCAACGAGAGTAGGGTGTCCGAGAGCTCTTTCAGTTTCCATTTTTGGCAAGAAGAATAATGCAAGCATGTTGGGTACTTCCCGATACCCAAAATGGACCTGCTCCTTTTAAGAGGACCGATCATTTCGGCAACATGGAACTGCTTTAAAGAGAAGTCCTGAACCAACAGCGCTTGATCAGCGCAAATTCCTTAAATATACATTTCAGACAAGGTTCTGTGGTGATGGACAACGTGGGGGCTCGGGTAGGGTCTGCTCAGTGCCACGGGGGCACTGGGAAAAAAAGTATAGTTCAAGCTTCCATGAGGATATGTTCCATCCCTCCTTCCCCAAGAAGATTTCCCGTTAAAGCCCACTCACTTCCTGAGTTCCAGGGATACTTTTTGGGAAGACCCTCAGTTGGCCAAAGCGAATCGACCTTTTGGCCCTTTGTTTTCCTGCGTTGGTCCATATTTCGTCAAGGTTCCGAAAGGTGATCTGACCTTGCAGTTTTCAGGTCCCTAAGAGGCAAGTGAGGATCATTGAGTGGGGGAAGATTTCCCCTTAAAAAAGTCCCTGACTTCCTGAGTTCCCGGACTTCACACTGTTTGGGTCTGGACCTTTTGGCGGTAAACACCAAGTGTTTTTTGTGTTTTTACTTTTTGTCGCCAATCCACTCGTTCGGTGAGCCCAAGTCAGCACTCGGCCGGCTGGGTGGGTCGTATATGGGTGGCTCTTCTGTTGCTAAGGTTGGACCCCCCCCCTGTTTTCCCTTGAAAACCTTAAAAAACAAAATGGGCTGGGTAGCCTCACAAAAGGGGCGACCCCGCCCATATGAGAAGCCAATGCTTTGGAACATTGCTGGCCATGTTGCTGCATGGATGCAGCCCTATCATTGCCCTTTTCTTGGGGGCATCCGATCCTATCAAGAAACACGTGAACACAAAAGAAAGCGGACGCGTGTATTTCTCCCGCCTGGCAACTACTCCCCTGCAGATAAGAACAAAGGAAACGGTTTGGATGAGGTGTATGTGGATCCACTCCCGTAGGATCGCAAAAGAGTACTAAAAGAGGATCACCAGAGGAACAAACTGGCATAGCAACATTGGGAAACCACAGAAAGCGCTTCAAAACTTATTCTTTTTTTTGGACCTACACAAACAAAAACACATATCTTTGGAGGAACTCGTTTGTTTGGGGGCCCCGGGTTCCAAGTCTCGCCTTCCGGAGGCCTTGGCCGTGTTGGCGGCACCTCGGCGAAAGGAAAAGAAAGCCGCGGAGCCGCAGCCCAAGGCGGTGAGGCCTTTGTTGGCTGTGTGTATTTGTGTACATAAATATGCATATATATATATATATATTATACACCCTCCCACCAGCTAACATGGAAGTGCACCGACCCCTGTAGAAAGACCACTTTCCTCTTGGAAAGGGCCTTTTTGCACTTCCATGTTAGTTGGTGGGAGAATATATGATTATATAGTACCCCCCTCCTCATGGACCCTGGTTAGTCAGTTAATGTTTTGGACCGTTGAAGGTGAGTTTCCCTTGGTGGGGTTGGTGGGGTGATGTTTTAAGGGGATGTGTAGGGGACCCTATTGGTGGTGAAACACAAGCACACACCAATGAATTCACACGAACACCATACGCACACACACACACACACAGAGACCTGCTGAGGTGATGTTCCTCTCAGGTCTTGTGCCCGGCATCATCGGCTACAATGCCGAACCTTGGCTTGAAGTTCTGATTGGCATGCACCCAATGCACAGCACTACTGCCCAATGTTTGCAATTTCGATCCAGGAAACATATGGGTGTGGGTCAAAATTCATCCACCAGGGGACCGCAGGTTTTAGTCTTTGGTTCCATTTACCAGGGTTCCATTTTGGGTACCTATTTTTGACCCACAGACATATTCTCAGTATGCCACGGTGCTTTCAAGACCAACGTGACTTGCTGGTGCTCAGTAGGGAATGGCCCAGGGTCTTGGGAATGAACCTAGGGATTCCCTGAAAGGAAACCATAGGGGATGGTTTATCTCAATCCCTCATTCCCTGCTGAGAACCACCTCTTTTCCAGAAAGGCGAAGGGCTGAACAGCATTGCATTTCCCCTCCCCCCTGCGAACACGCGACAATTGGAGTTTGCCAAAGGGTCCGAGACAGTTTGGAGACGTTTGTTCATATGAGCAAAGGGGTACCAACACAGTTCACTAAAGGGGGTACCAAAGCATCCTGCAAATGCACCGGGGTGTCAAAGATTGGGGCTCTCGAAGCATGGATCGGTTGAACTGCTGTAAACGCAGCAGATCCCAGCCACGGACACCTCGACACCTTGCTTTCCCTCTGAAAAAGGCGATGCTCGCCATTTTGTGTTCCCAAAGCCACCTTCCTGCATTCCCGAGGGAGATGCGTGGCCTTCAGGGTGTTTGGGAGATGAGGATAGGGCTTCCCGTGTAGGCCATCAGTGCATGCGCGCAGAGCGCGCGATGGCAGCACGCTGTAGCTCTGATGTCCCTGGCCAGTGAGAACGCTGCGGTGGACGCGCCTGGGTGGCACGTGAATATTGCACAAGATTGCAACATGGTATTCCAGCCGATTCCAGCCTCCCCCCCCCCGCGGCCCAAAGCCCGGCAAGTCGGCGAAGTGAGTAAAGAGGTGTACTTGTTGGCTGAGTTGGGGTGACCGCGATGCCCGAAATAAACGAAAATTGATCAGGACCAGAATGGGAAGCGCTACGAAAAAGACCAAAACACTCATTGAAACTAGGGAAACCTGGGGTATGTTTTGCGGAAAGGGAATCCATCCTCTGGAAAAAAACAAAAAACACATGGCCGACTGGCGAATCATGTGGGTTGGATCCTCTCCTCTGGGTGTATTGGGTGTGATTTTTTGCTCTGGTCTTTCTTGGCGTTGGTACCCATTTCGTTTTGTTGGTCTTTTTGTTTATAAAACAATAGTTGTTTTGCAGGGAACCAAGAGGAAGACCGCGCATTTGTGTTTGTAGCCTTCAATTCCATCCCCCGGGAGGTGGTCACCTGGAACACCGTGATCGCGGCCTGCCCCGAGCACCGTGTGCTGCCGCTCCTCGAGGAAATGATCGGCTCGCAGATCCGGGTGGTGCCTTGGGCGAGCATCGGTTCGGTGGATTTTTTTTTCAGTTGGGACCGCCAGACTTGGTGGTTCCGGTTGGTTGTCCATCCAACCCACCAGCTAGTCACTTTTCAGTTGCCAGCCATCCGGTTCCTGAGCTTTATAGATCGTTTCAGTTGGTTTAGTGGTTGGTTTTCTGTTCAACCCCCCAGTTGGTCACTTTTATCCGGGGGTTTGCGGGTTTTCTTCGGGTCACTTCCTGCGATATGAAGGGAATCAGTGAAACAAGTAGTCCATGGCATGGCCCACTTGTCATTTCCCAGGACCGGAGCAAGTGAGCAGGGGAGTCCCCCGATCTTACCGGAGGTAACTGCCACATGGAAACGAACCTCCAAAACAGGGGGGGGCACCCGACCCCTGTTTTTGGGTATCGTGCAAATAGGTGTCCTGATTTAGGTGAGTTTGGGTGGACATAGTTGGGTCCCACTGGATGGTTTTTTATGCCGCGTTTTCCAGACAAAAAGTAGTCTATTTGTCCAGTGTAGGTCACCTACTGTGGATGGACGAAATCCTGCATCAACTGAGAAACCATAGAATGATGATTCCCATGCAAATGCCAACAAACAGTGGTTTCCCGTGGTTTTAAAGTGGTGCAGGATTTCGTTCATCCACGGTGCTAGTTTGGGGAGAATGTGGACAAACTCCGCCACAAGTTTAGTGAGGATGCCCCTTGCTTGAGGGAGTGGTGCTACATGTGGGGCAATTCGGTGTGTCTTTTTTTTAGAAGACCCCCCAAACAAATTGTTGTTTTCCTCTTGATGTCCCTTTCAAAGCACCAACAAGGGGATACCCTAAAGAAAACAGACCCAACTGGCAATGGGCTTCAGGACAGCAAGTCACACATACAATGGCCATCGGTTTTTGTTTTCTTCTTTTTTTTCTTCTTACAATCCCTGGCAATATCAGCTGCAGCATTTGCTTGAAACATGGGTGTTTGACATTGTCTCGTATAATGGCATCAGTGGTTTCAACTGGCTTTTGTTTTACCCCGGAGTCGTGCCCCAGTTTCGCTCAAGTTGTGTGCGAGTACGAGTGTATGAGTGTATGCGTTCTTTCCGGCACGCAGTAGTTAGAAGCTTTTCTGCAAGGCGACCGCTGCCTGCCCTCTTTTCAGCGAGCAGCGCGTTAGTTACAGAGTGCAGGCGTTCGATTGATTCCACAAAAGGTGTCTGAGCCTTTGTTATGCCAACCCCGAAGGCCTTGCGCTATTCCAAGAAATTCAAGCCGGGAGAGCCAACATTAAGCGGCGAAGGAAGTCCCAGACGCAATAGAGGAGCGATTCGGGGTGCCAGAGATCAGGCTTGTGTTCTTGTACTGAGAATGAGTGGCAGCAGTACAGTAATTAGCTATTGTACAATGTTTAGGAGAATGCACATGTTGCGTCATGCATGCCTTTGTCTTTATGCCACCTGCAGAAGCGATGCTAAGGATCTGATTACGTACAACTCTGCAATCAATGCATGCGGTCATTGGGAGACTGCGCTGGCTTTGCTTCAGCAGATGATTTCACAAGACTTCCAACCGGCCGCGGCCCTAGTAGGAATGGCAGAAAGCAAGGAGTTGTCTAGCAACGAAATGAGGCCACGGCTACATACATATTATTCTATGGGTCTGAGTCTTAATTGGGCCCTCAAGTGGACATCATTTAGGTGGCGAGTTATGTCCACCAACCATTTGTGAGAGGATTCCCCAATTAATATGTTGTTGCCGTAGACATATATATATATATATAGCTGAAAAACAGTTGTGGAGTTATGGGAAGTCAGGTTGTTGGCGATGCATGGTTCCACAAGCGACGTCCACATATTGATTGCCTGCTTATCGCAGTTGAATTCTCATTGCCCATGTCCCAAACTACCCCAAGGAAAAACACAACTGTTTTTCGGCTTTGCAGTAATATATATATATATATATATACAGTTTCCATACGTATATCTTCCCGGGTTCCGGGTTCCCAGTTCTGCCATCCTGCGGGGTACCACAGAAAAACCTAGAGTCTCCATGACCCCCAGAAAAAGAGGTCACAACCCCTTAATTTTTGGGTAATGACTCCAGTTTTAAAGGGCCATGGAGACTCCAGGCAGACACCCAGGTTGCGCGAAGTCTTGATCGGAGAAAGGCCATGTTCCTACTGGTTCGACTCAGGACATCTTCACTTGCAACTCAATGCTCAAGATCGCTGCGAAGGAGGCTTGACTCTAAGAAGTCTCCAGGAATTCCCACAGGCAGTGACCAAAGCCCTGGTGGTATTCGGTGAACTTCCGAGGTCCTGGAGATGGTTTCCTTGATTGACTTTGGAAGATGCGTGTAGTAAAGCATCACGATCCAGGTGGTAGGTTTCCGGTTGGGTTCCCTTTGACGTAGACTAAGCTTACGTGTTTTGACTTTTGCCTTTTGGTGTCTCCACCATTTCCCTCAGCAACAAGTTAGCTTAGTTGTTTTGTTTTTGGAGTTCAGCAGCCACTTTTGAAGGGTGCCCCATCAAAACTCAATTGCCAAACTAACACATGTCAACTGTGGAAACCCCCTATAGTAACAGACTCACCCCCCCCGCAAACACACCAACTCCCAAACACCCTCCTGGTGTGTTTGGGGGGTTGGTGAAAACCATCGCAAGCGGGCCCCGCACAGAAACACGCATCTTCTCTTCAGCGCTGCTCAGCTGAGGGTCATTGGCCAGCCGTGCTGGCGCTCTTTCAGCAAATGAAATTGGCAGACTCCTGGCTGAACTGGACACGTTTCCTGGCAGTCTGGGTGAGAACCGTGTTCCACGAGTTCTAATTGTCCTAAGAGCCAATTGGGTGCCAAACGGGTTCTTTGTCTTTTGCATATTCCCAGGGCTGGGCATTGTTGCAACAGTTTGGGAGTTAAGAAAAAAATGCTTGAGCAAGGGCTTGCTTGCAGTGCTCGCGGCTGGAACTTCAGAGTTGCATACTTGCACAGTGGATCCAAATTCAGCCCGCAACACAGAGATCATCAGAGGTGTGTGCCTTCCTGCTCACATAGGTGTTCTAGAATTCGACATGGACCCCCTTTCTTCATGGTGAAGGAAAGCCAAGAGGACCCAACTGCTTTTCAAGTGTCCTTCATTTCAGTCAGAATGGTGTCATAGACCGCTGGTCCCCTTCAATAACTCTCGCGGGGTTCTCTGTGTGATGACTTTATATATGCGTATTTTCCAGGTCAGTTTGGTTGGTCATAGATGGCGCTGCTTTCTTTTTAGAGCATTCACCGGTGCCATCTTCGTTTCCAAAGGCACACCCAGGTCTAGGTGTGTCAAGAGGACTTGCCCCCAAAGACCTGGTGGTTTCCATTTGGCTTGAGAACATCATCGGAGAGACCTAGGGGAGAACCACCCGAAAGGTTTTTCAGGTTGTGGTTTGGCCTTTACCAAGCTGTTTGGGGTTTGAACATCTAAATGCTGATTGTTGCATGGTTGGTTTTCAAAGGCGAAAACATGGGGACTGGTTGGCGTCCTTTTGGTTTAGATACAGAAAAAAGGGGTTCACCATAGGACCCTAGCGGCTTAGCCACCCGGTGGGCTTGTTCCACGCTGAGGGCGTCGACGAGACAGCTGTGACCGATGAGATCATGCTCAGCGCCTTGCAAGGCCACTTGGATGCTAAAGAACATTTGGGTCTGTCTTGTTTTTTTTGGGGGGTAGCCCTTGTTGGCTTGTTTTGAAGCCATTTTGGGAGGTCCCCCAAACAAAACCAGACCCATTTTAGCATGATCACTTGTTCGGGTGTAGAATTCATTGTGACCGAGGGGGTGGGCTTCTCTCACTTTTGAGGGGGGCGCTGTAAAACTGGGCTTCAATGTGCACCAAAAGATAGCGTATCAATTTGAAGGGTTCCTAGTTTTGAGAGACACCTAGGACTTTTGTCATGCTGAGGCCGAATTCCCTGCTCGTGGCTACAACTTCTCACTGGAAGCCAGCATCGCATACTACTGGACATGAATTCATTGTGGGGCGAAAAAAGTGATTCAAGCAGCTGCACGCCCGCCCTAATTACAGCTCAGACAGGATGGTATGGACGAGGGATTTTGCATCGAATGTTTGTCGTGCATCGAAGCAGATTTTCTGGCCCCAGTCGGTGTGATCATGTGTGTGTGTGTGTGTGTCACAGATCCCGTTGCTCTCTCGAGCTTGCTCAGTCGAGCGCCTTGGCCCAAACTTGACGGCAGGGCTTGTCGGGGAATGGGAGGCTTCCCTTTGGCCAAGCAATCCCAAGGATTCCGGAAGAAACACACAGCCATGGCGCCATGACCAGCCTCCAGGGCAAGCTTTCATGTTGAAGTCAGCGACCGAGGCTCAGCCAGTCGCTGGCAGCATCACTATTAGGAGGAGACACGTTGACACATAGACACGATGCTTCCAAGCATGGCTGTACGTCATGCCTGGTGTCTAGACTCTCAACCACAGCAGTTGTCCGCAAAGTCTTCCCGCTAGCGGAGCGCCCCATGTCGCGAGTGCTCTTTGCTGAGAGTTCGAGTTCCTCTTCGCGAGTGCTGCATGCTGAAACCGCCAGGGCCTCGGGCTCGAGACACTGAGATCTTTGAGTTGCCAGATCCTTTGCTCGTATCATTTACAGAAATGGGGATTGAACAAAGGGAGGGGTCAACAAAAGTGGGGTGGGGCTCAAAAAAGGTGCCTCCGTTTCAGACTCGCAAGAGCCATCAAAAGTGAGTGTCTACTCTAAGACCAAGCCAGGAGTTTCCCATGCCTTGCTCATCAATGGTGTATTTTTGGGTGTGTCTTTTTGTAGGATTTGGAACCCCCAAAATGGCTTTTGTGTTTCCCTTCGTTTTCGTAAGCCAAGAAAACAAGGGCGACACCGTGGTTTGGTGCCAGGTTGACCTGCGGGCCATTCATGGCCTATGGATGAACAGCTACGTACAAATGGCTCTTTCTCAACATGTGTGGGAGGCTCGTCTTTTTTAGAGGTCAGTTCCTCTAAAAACCACAAGAAAAAAAACCACGCGAACACTCAAACAAGGACGTTTGGTTTCCCTTCAACCCCAGACCAGTGGGAAAAGCCAAGTCTTTCCAGGGGACTTGAAGCAAAGGGAATGAGCCGTGGCATGGAACTCCCATCAGAAGCTTCACTTTGATTGCTTTTTTTGTGTGTGGCAAGTCGGCACCAGAAACTCAGAAACGGCCGGCGGCCTTGTCAAGAGATTGAACTCATGTGCCACCCATTCTTTTTTCCGGAGCCTCGAGGCTTTTTTGCAGCCATGTGGCGCCTTGGCGCAACCAGTGGAGTTGGCCCGGAGTTCTTGAAATGAGGGTGTCGCCTTTTTCAGACCCCCAAATGGTGGTGTTCCTTTGGGTTTTGCTTCAAACCTCATGTTGCCTCAAGACACCCCAACACGCCCTGGCTCAGGTTCGGCCCAGGCGCACTGGCAATGAGGGGAGCGGAGCCATTCGGCAACCTCGTTTCCTTACCTTGGTCCAAGAACCCCATAGGTTGCCCCCCAACAAATCGTTCCTTTTGGTTCCCTTTACAGCTATGCCAAGGGCACCCTCAAACAATGACACCCCTAGTTGTGCGGTTTTGGTTCAAGGGAACTCGTCAACTTCCTCAAATCCGCGGAAATATGAGAGAAGTGACAGTCGGGGTTCGGGAATCCCAAACGACTCGAACGGAGCTGTCCGGTTTGGTTTCGGTTGTTTGGACGGTTTGGGTCCGGGAATGTCACGCCCAAAGGAGGTTGATAGAACAATGCAAACAAGAAGCCTAAGACAGGGCTTTTGGGGCAATTCTTCCCCTTGAAGGCAAAACGCATTGCCCGCTAGTCAAATGCAAATGAGCCTCACCGTTAAGTGATCTTTGAAGGGGACAACTGAGCCACAATCAAAACCCGGTTAGATGAAGGTTGGTAAGGAGCAGTCCCAGCCAGAAATAGTTGCGGCTGCCTTCTTAATTTTTGAAGCATGGTTCAGGAATTACGACCATTCTAATACCGGGTTTTGATTGTGACTCAACTAAGGAACCCTGCAAGAGGGAAACCGGGCCACATGTACGCATGGTTTGGAGGGATAGCAAGGCCTTAGCACACTTCTTTTGCAACCATGGATCGCAACCTTTTTTTTGTCCAGGGGACTTAAGCAGATGGGGTTCCCGTACTAAAATAGACTACAGACAAAAGCTGGTGCACTTATTCGAACCTTTCCACTGCAGGACCTAGACTAAGGAACCCTGCAGGAAACGGAAGGTAAAACCCAAGGTTCCCAGCGGCCGACCCACGCAGATCCGGGAAGGGGGACTTCGCGACGCACAAGAGTCCCACTTTTGGGTGTGAAGCTGTGGATGGAGAACAACGGGGGACGCGGGACTCACGTCCTTTTAAATGGGGTACCAAAAGTGCCGGTCTCAACAAATTTAGTTTTGGCTTTTGTTTGTTTGATTGAAGCTAATTTTACAAGCCCTCCATGTATTAACCAGGCTCCCGCCTGCTGCCGCCGACCCTCGGCGGATTTGCAGAGAGAACCCCAGGGGGGCATGCGGCGGAAACCTGATTAACGGACAGGTCGGAAAGATGGCCGCTCGTCCGTTAATTGCCGCGCGGGCCGGTTTCTGCGCCTGGGACCAGCCTGGACTGGGGGGACCCAGTCCAGGCTGGTCCCAGGAGCCCGTGCGGCATTCACGGACGAGCTGCCACCGTTCCGACGTGTCCCTTAATCTGCGCGGGGCCGGTTTGCGTCGTTCAAGGTGCGTCGACTTGGCCCGGGAGGCCGAAATAGCGGAGGAAACAGGTGTCCAGAGCGGCGTGGGTGGATCCGACGCCAGCAGTCGCACCAGGAGGCGAGCCCGAGCCGCGGCGAGGACCGGCCAGGACAGGTCCCAGCACAGGTCCTGGCACCGGTCCCAGGACCGGTCCCAGGACCGGTCCCAGGACCGGTCCCAGGACCAGTCCCAGGACCGGTCCCAGGACCGGTCCTGGGACCGGTCCTGGGACCAGCGCCAGGACGAAACCGGGTCCCAGGACTGGTCCTGGGACTGGCCCCAGGACCGGTCCCAGGACCGGTCCCAGGACCAGTCCCAGGACCAGTCCCGGGACCAGTCCCAGGACCGGTCCTGGGACCAGTCCCAGGACCGGTTTTGCTCGTCCGCAAGCAGCGCGAAGCACCAGAACCGGTCCCAGGACCGGTCCCAGGACCGGTCCCAGGACTGGTCCCAGGACCGGTCCTGGGACCGGTCCCGGGACCGGTCCTGGGAATCCACTTTTTGTAGGTTCGGGTGTGTCCCCCAGGGACCATCATTGATTCCAATCACTTCCAGTTGCATCCCACGCCGGTCCCCTCTGCAAGAGGCTGGGACAGGAGGCAGAGGGTCGGCGGATTTGTGGATCTTTCATTTTGTGGTGAATCATTGGCACCCCCTAAATTGATCAGCCTAGAAAAGTCAGCGGCACAATCGGATCAACTTCCAGGCTCATCTGCCGAAGCATTTTGGTGGGTAGGGCAAGGGAAGAGGGGTTGGTCAAAAGAGCTTCACTCCAGGCGGGACACGGTTCGGCGATTGCTTGCACCAAAGGACGTCATGTGAAAGCGCAGCCAATTTCGGACCGGTTTGATGATGGAACCCTTTTGTTTTGGGTCACTCAACCTATATGAGTGTCCCCCAGCCGGTGAAAGCACGTCACCATTTAAAGCCGAGTTTCCTTTGGTCACCCCCAAATTTCGTCTGGTGTCCCTGAGTTTCTTTCCTCGATCGATCGATCTGTGCCAGGGATGCAGCACAAGTTCAGACAGAGGTTGCGGAGGCTGGGTTTTGGGTGGGGGGATCCGATAGCAGATCCGTTTGCAGAGATTGGCGAAGCGATGTTGAATGAAAGAAAGGAAGCTTCTCTAGGAAACGGTTACAATTGTGAGTCATAGCATCTAGGTTGCATGCAGCAATGATAGTTGCTTCCTTCACAGGAGGCCTTTCCAAGCGCGAAGGCGTGTGACCAATTTGAGTCCAGGGCGCTAAGGTCAAGCGACATTTTCCACGTCCTTTGGGTACTCCGCACATACGCCCAAACATTGGGCCCCCAAGCGATATCGGCTTCTTCCATGAATTCATCTGGGGGTGGAGTCGGATTCCACGGACATGGACGAAGAGTTGTTGGTGTGCCATGGTGTTCGTATGGAAGATGTCCTTGAGGAGTTTGACGAAGCAAAGGATGTGTGTGTGTGTGTCTGTGTGTCTGTGTGTCTGTGTGTCTGTGTGTCTGTGTGTCTGTGTGTCTGTGTGTCTGTGTGTCTGTGTGTCTGTGTGTCTGTGTGTCTGTGTGTCTGTGTGTCTGTGTGTCTGTGTGTCTGTGTGTCTGTGTGTGTGTCTGTGTGTCTGTGTGTCTGTGTGTCTGTGTGTCTGTGTGTCTGTGTGTCTGTGTGTCTGTGTGTCTGTGTGTCTGTGTGTCTGTGTGTCTGTGTGTCTGTGTGTCTGTGTGTCTGTGTGTCTGTGTCTGTGTGTCTGTGTGTCTGTGTGTCTGTGTGTCTGTGTGTCTGTGTGTCTGTGTGTCTGTGTGTCTGTGTGTCTGTGTGTCTGTGTGTCTGTGTGTCTGTGTGTCTGTGTGTCTGTGTGTCTGTGTGTCTGTGTGTCTGTGTGTCTGTGTGTCTGTGTGTCTGTGTGTCTGTGTGTCTGTGTGTCTGTGTGTCTGTGTGTCTGTGTGTCTGTGTGTCTGTGTGTCTGTGTGTGTGTGTCTGTGTGTGTGTGTCTGTGTGTGTGTGTGTCTGTGTGTGTCTGTGTGTGTGTTTGTGCGTGTCTGTGTGTGTCTGTGTGTGTGCGTGTGTATTAAACCCACAAAGGATGTGTGTAAAGCTACACCGGTATGACACTTTTGGGAGAGATGGCAGCCAGCATAGTCCAAGAGAACGATCTGGAATTGCTGCAGAACCTGATATGGGGACCTTCCCAGTGATGCAGTCCCCGCAGAACCTCAGGATCACTGCCCACCCCCGCCTTCGCAATCGGGGGCTCAACCATAAACAAACCATGAGAACAATCTAAACATCAACCATACTATTGCAGTAGAGCGACCACGAAAACCACACATCGACCATACTAGAATTCGGATCACACACAAAAATTATATAGTCATAGACAGACATAGATCATCTCGTTCGGGTTGAGGGGCAGGGATGCTAGCAACGCTCAGCATCTCAGGAAAGGGAATCACCAAAATTGGGAAATGGGGTCACCAAATTCCTGGAGAGACTTCCTGAACTGGTTTGATCTGGGCAAAGGATTTGATCCCCTTGGTCGTTTTCCAATAGATGGACAAATCGGAGGACCGCGCTCGGACGGAGTTCCCCGTTCCCCTATCAGTACCTGTCGCGGCCGGAGAAAAAACGGGGGGGAAAACATCACTCGAGTGGTTTGGACTTTGCGGGACCCGTCTGGACCAACTCTTGTGGTAAACAAAAAGACGCTGGATTTTTCCTTGCCATGCCGAAGGTTTTTTGAGGAATTTGTTCAATGAGATTCGTTCTCGGGGTGATTTGTCATTCTGCCTCGGTCACTTTCACAGGTCCAGCCCCGAGTGCCTTCGGCTTTCGTGGCGGAGGAGGCGGGATCGGTGTGCTGAATAGCGTGAATAGCCCTCTTCTTCCAACTGCTGAAATGAATTGTGTTGTGTTCCTGTTTGTTTTAAGGTGAGTCATGTCTGTTTTGTTTTCCAGGGGACTTAAGTCACTGGATGTTTTTAGTTTGTCTGGAAGGAAACCAACTGTGCGACGTTGAGCAAGGTGCCGGGTTCCACGTTACATGGGGTGTGCCTTAAAGAGGCCCCCCTCCCCCAGCCAAAAACAACAGCAAGCAAACAATACAAGTCACACAAGGGTGGCGTTTCTGTGGGTTTCTCCTTAAAACCGGCCCAAACAAGGGTACCCTCAAAACGGACACGTATATTTGCCACACCCCCACGTCTGGTGGGTCGCTGGCGTTGGGAACAAGCACATATGGGGGGTTGTAGAACACCAGACGTTTCTGTTGGAACCCTGGACAGGGACCAAAGAGGGGTCACTGATTTTTTCAACCACCCATATATACATATATATATATATATAATATGTATATGTACATGAACATACAGCCTTTCACAGAAGACTACAGTGAAGGCCGGGCGGAAGCATTTGGGTAACAGGTAGGACCCCCAAAATGAGGGAGAGCCATGGGAGGGAACACAAAAGATCATTCAACCAAGCGAATAACTTCCGTAGCTCATATATATATATATATACACATGCCAAGCGCATCGGGAAAGCTCCCCCCCAGTCGATGGTTTAGTGAAGGCAAGCCGTTTGTTACGCCGAGTTGGGCTTCATACTCTCAGATGAACATGGAATCGAGCTTTGCGGAACAAGTTTGGGTTGGCAGACGCCACTTCGAAATTTAACAAGTGGACCAGTTCATGGCGCCCAACGAAGTGCAAGCACATGGGCTACATGCTGAAAGCAACCGCCTTGCCTCAGAATGCCTTTGAGGAACCAATGCACATGTTGTTAGGGCAACCAAAGAAAAAGCCTGCATTTGTGTATGTGTCACTTTGAGGAAAACCCTCATTTGTTGGTAACTTGCCTCTTGGTTTCCCTTTAAACCAATATGACAAAAATCATCTCCAACAAAAAACCACGCCGTATCCCACGTTCGGCCCCTTTCTGATGCGATCGGCAACCAGTCGAACTGTTTGCCATGGGAAGCGCAAGGCGAGGCGTCATGTGTTGAAAATCCCGGGGGCCCCCGTGAGGAGGGGCAACCGAAACAGAAAAGAGCACTCCTTGAGCTTATGGACTTTAACCTTGCTCGATCAATCTAAACGCACCGACAGAAACTCTCATTCCCAGATTGGAGCTTCTGGTTTTCAGCTTCGAAGGTGAATCTAAACACAAAGTTCGGTTGGCTTGCTTGGCCAATACGGGAGGTGAGACTGCCCTTAGATGCAAAAACGGACCTTGGCCAGCTGCGGCATCTGGGGGAGCTCGCGGGCATGAAAGGCGCCGATCCGCTGAACGATTTGACTCTCCGCGCCCGGGGTTGAAACCAAAGGGCCGTCCCCCCAGTTCTCATTTATGAATTGCATGGGTCCCATTTTTTTGGGGGAAAACGCAGGTCTCTCCTCCTTTTTTCTTGGAAGCTTGCTGCTTTTGCAACAATTGTCCTTGAAGTTTAAGGTTGGTTTGGGCTGGTGGATTGGGGGTTGAACCCCTGTCAGTTGAAGCGAACTGGGAACATCGCCGGCTTTCTCCCAAACTACCAATTCCAACCACTATAAAAAGGGAGGCTGAGTGAGGGTGGGACAAACACCATTTACCTCCTCTTGATTTGTATGACACCTTCCACCACATGCTCAGTTGTTCAGTGGCACCCTTGTTTCTTCTTTCTTGGCGGCTGCCCCACTAAAAATGGTCTTCCCCGAAAAAGGGTTCCCTTTTGTTGTCCAGGGTCACTGAACAACTGAGCACGTGGTAAAAGGCGTAGCCTCGTTTTGCCGGGAAGCAATTTGAATCCCGCATCTCTCTGGCCACGGGGCCCATCAAAGGCTTGTCAACACGGGTTGCCATTGTTCACAACCCCAGCCCTGATTAACTAGGTCCCCCCAGTAGTGCCCTTTTACCCTTCTTTGGGGGAGGGTTCCCCTACTCAAATAGACTACAGAAAAAAAAGGGTACCCTTGTTCTAACCTCTCTACTGGAGGACCTAGTTAAATATATATAATCTTGAGAGCCGCGTTGCCATGGCAGCGAAAGGCTCCTGGACTCCCTGTTGGCCCCGCATGTTTTATTTATTTTTTCCCTGTGCAGGCAGGACCAATTGCCTGTCCATGGTGGTTCGAGTCAGCCCTGGTCCGTGTTTGATGTTGTCTCTTGTCCAAGGCATATTTTTCCCTTGCTTGGCCAGCACCTTCCAAGGGTTGTGGTTTGCAGCATGTGTAAGGTGTTGATCATAGCTGACTTGAAACAGCCAGTTGGATGAGTCCAACTCCCTTCTTACTTGGAAAGCCTATAGCTTGTCGTCCTTTGGCATAGGTCTAGTCACCTTTGGAATGTTGTTTTGCTTGAAGAAACACCTTGTTTTGTTTCGCATGTCGTTCCATGTTTTGTGGAGCGGCCGCAAAGAAACATGTTTGGTGCCAAGATGTCAGGGTTTGGGGGAGGGGATGGTTTTTTCGTTTGAAACCCGGCCAGAAAGGGGCTGCTCCCCATAGGAGCATGCTGAGATGTCATGAAATATAGATTCAGGATCTCGCCAATTTGGCTCTTGGTGTTTTGACCTCCTATAAGCTGGAGCATGCACGTCATCTGCAGTCCGATGGATACCATGTGCGTGCCGCAGCATATTGCTTTCTTGGGAAGGTGCCACTCGAGTTTTTTGCCACGAGTCTCGATGGGAGTCTGAATCTGCCGCTGGGACCGAGGGAGTTTGCTGGGCCCGGTCCACCTGGTCTCAGGTAGTGGAGCCACACAGAGGTTGGGGAGTTTGGGGAGACCCTCCGTCCAATCATGGAGGCCAACAGGAAGGTGCGGTAAACACCAGCGGATTTGTCCATTCGGACTAGTACGGGGGTGTCTCCAGGATCCTTCACTTTGGGTAAGATCCCCCTATTAACCCCATTAATGGAACCGTTCGTCGCTTGCTTCAAAGCATCTTTTCTTCAACATGTGAGCCGCGAGCTCCATCTGTGGCATGCGACAGATGATGATCCCGTTGTTGATGGTCCGTGTCCTGGAATGTGGCATTTTTCCGTATTGGTTTCTGTATAATATTGTCGGGCTTTCATGTGGGTGTGTCCGGACATCTTGTGAGAATGTTTGCAAGGGACATCAGAATCCAGCCATTTCGGATGCTGGGCAATTTTAGGACTCGCCCGTATCTGAGGGATCAACTACATACCCAGCCCATACCCCTGCCACAATTGAAGGAGACTCTTAGCACAATGTCTGCAGACGCGGATTTCTACCAGGGGTACCTGACCCACAGGGGCCTCGGGGTGAGGACCAATTTCTATTTCAGTGTTGGAAATTACAGCAAGATGTGGCACGGCAAACGGCTGGCTCGTCTTTTCGGAGAGCCCCGATTTTTGGTGGTTTTAGTTGTGGTGGGAACTGGCGAACCGAAGCCATTTTTGGGGGATCCCTTTCAAAAAGGAACGGGAACAGAGGCATTTTGGGGGGATCCCTTAAGACACCGTGACCGACCCAAGTGGCTGTGGCTCAAAAAAGTGGAACCCATTTTTGGCCCCCTTGGAAGCAAAGACCAACACTTGCGTAACCCCAGCCATTAAACATATTGCGACACACCCAAATGGAGCATAAAAACACGGACACATCTGTGGATCTCCCATAGGGACGAGCCAGTGCCCAGGTCCAGAGATGGATCCAGCACCCAAGGCCTACGAGTGCTCCAGGGTCCGGGGGTGAAGCCGGCGGTTTTTGGAAAAAAAATACGGGCCCGCCGTGTTTTTTTGGGGTATCCAAGTACAAAAAAGGCGGCACAAGTTGCAGGACCAAATCAAACCATACTTTTTGTCACAAGCCTTTTAAATGAGATTTACTCACTTGCCCAAAGCGAATCGACCGTTTTGACCTTTTGGTGTTCCTGTTGTTTGGTTCAGTTTTTTTCATGGCCCCAAAAAGGCTAACCTTTTATTTTTGGGTCCTTTGGGCAAATGAGTTTAGTCAGGAATAGTGATTTAAACATGTGTGGATTCCACTCTCCAAATCCGTTTGGTATTTTTGGACCTAAAATTGAATCGACCCTTAAAGTCCCAACGGGTTTCTAAAAGGGTCACCAAACCACGGAGACACCTAACATTGGCTTTTTCCTTTGGGCTTTTCTTTTGAACATCGTGGATTCCCTGTTGTGAGAAGGGTGGTCCCTTTGTCCAGATACATTCCCAGACTTCCAGTGGTGGCCTGTTTTTCTATTGGTACCTTCCCAATTCTTTCCAGGGATCCTTCTTTCTACAAAACCTCCAGAATCCCAGGTAAAACGGCCGGTTTTTGAACAGAATGGGGATTCAAGCCCTAGAAATTTTGGCTTTTTCAGGAAGCTCTCTTCAAAAGGCAGCTACCTCATGCCCAGCTGCTAACGGCCGTTACGTCGTTTGGCCCGTGCGAGGTACGGGCTCCAGTCCCCGCAAAGGGCTCAATGGGCATTGAGGGTCGTCTGTACAGCTTGGTGTCATACGTTGAGTGGTACGTTCAGCAAACCAAAGCCATGTTCGAGTGGTTTGTAGGTCCGTGTGTGCCGTTTTGTTGCTTTGTTGTTTGTTTGTTTTTTGCCGGGGGGGAGGGGCCAACGTGGTAAACCAAGTAGTTGGACCGTTGTGAGCACGAGGGGTACACGTGTTTCCGAAAAAGTCAAACAGCCAAGTGGGTGTGTCCTTTTTGGTTGAGGGTACCCCTCATTTTTGTTTTAATGGGAAACCAAAAGAACAAACCCACCATTTATGGGGTCCCCTAAAGAAGACACCCAAGTAAACCCTTTTCCCTTTGAGCTACATTTCCATGGCACCCACCCTCTGATTGCCCGTTGGAGATGGTTCATGTCGGTTACTTAAAGTGGGAACAGGGCCTTGGCATTTCCCAGCCACACAAAGACTTTCAGACATTTAGAGGAGGCATCCGTGACAATCCTCTAACTTTTTGTAATTAACGAACCGCTAGATTACCATAGTATAGTGATCAGGTTTTGCACCAAAGGAAGGGCAATGGGATGGATGGACCAGACTGAAGGGATCCACATGCGATCCATGGCATCCCACTTGTACTCTTCTGGAGTGTTGCTGGATGTTGTTTTCATCTTGCTTGAAGGGAAGTCAAGAGGCAAGCCACCATTTGTTGTGGTTCCCCCACTTTGGACGCATATGTCAGTCCACTTCTTGGGGTTCCCCGGTTCCCCCACTTTGACGCATACCGCATACCCATCTCAGTCCACTTGGATCGAGAACTTATTCCGAAGTCAAGGAGATCTACCACGTGCAACGACCCGCGATCCATCTCGGTGGGCCCCGAAGGGTGAGTCGAAAATCGGCCCATGGCTTGCGGTAAATGGATATGGGTGTGGCTCAAAATGAAACAGGGGGGGCAAACCGCAGGTTTTGGTCCATGTTTCCACTTACCAGGGCAACCCATTTTGGGTGCCGGATTTTTGAGCCACAGCCATATAAGAACTAAAACCTGCAGTCCCCTGCTGGGTTTCATTTTGATCCATACCCGAAGCCGGGCGAGGGATGAAATTCCTTTTGGTCCGCAAGGACTTTTTGCTCACTGGAAAACCTGCGCCGCAAGACGCTGGATGCCATCCGACCCAGGAAGCAGGCATTCGTGGACCCACCTCTTGTCACAACTCTTTCACAGTGCACATCCATTGCCCAGCAAGGCTTCCAATCATCTACTCTCTGACGGAGCATGAAGTACAATCAGCTTTTTACTGTAAACGATCTATTTTGGTTGGATTGATCTTGAGGTTTCGGTGAGAACCCCCTCCTTTGTGCGTGAGGGAATGATCAACCCTACATCTGAGCTTTGCAGGGGAACCCTTGGACATCATAAATCGATGGGGATTTTTCGTTTCCAGTTAGAGGTGGTTTGTTTTTTCCTTCTAAGACATACTCACATAGCCACATTTCGACAGGACAAAAACCCCACGTGAGGGGCTCTGGGTTTAAGGGACGAGCTCTCCAGCGGTACAGCTCTAGTGCGGCACTGAACAGAACCATTTCGGCCCGGTCTTTGATTCGGGAGCAAGGGATGGCCAGTTACCCAGTTTAGCAAACGAGGTGTCTCAAAAAACCAGCGTGGCTTTCAAGCCAGCCGTTTTCCAGCGCAAGGGCCTGAAGATTGGATGTTTGCCGGGTTGCCCGTTTGAGTTGGCGCCGGTGAACGTCATGGGCTTGTCTCAAAATAGCAGACCCTGGAAATGTCCTGTTTGGTTTTCTGCGTGTTTTCCCTTCAGACCCGCCCCAAAATGGGCACCGGTCAAGAAAAGACAAACCCAAATGCTATTTGAGGGTTCCGGTTGCTAGCCACAAGTTGC